TGAGCCAACGTCAGAGGCTTAACTGACTGAGCCACCCAGGTGCCCATGAACTGTATACTTTAAAGGGTGAATGTTATAGTATGTGAGTTACATCTCAATTTAAAAAATAGTTTAGGACCTGGGGCACCTAGGTGGCTCTGTTGGTTAGGCATCTGACTCTTGGTTTCAGCTCAGGTCATGGTCTCATAGTTCATGATTCTGAGCCCCCACATAGGAACACTGTCAGTGCAGAGTCTGCTTAGGATTCTCTTCTTCTCTCTCTCTCTGTCCCTCCCATGCTCTCTCTCTCAAAATAAACAAATAAATTTCAAAAAGTTTAATAAAAAATAGATTAGGACCTGCTACAGAGGGCCTTATTATGCTGAGGATCCCTAATGCTGGAGACACTAAGGGGTCACCGAATGCTTTTAATATGCCAGTAGTAATAATACAGTAATAAATAGTAATAGAATTATAATAAATAAAAAACAATCATGATGAAAAGAATAATAGAGTGAGAACAATAGACACCATAGATGGAACACTTGCTATGTGCTTTACCCATAGCATCTGCTCTGACAACCTGACCATGGGATGACCTTCATAGCAGTTTCCTTCACAGCAGGGAGGACTTATTTATTTTGTTTATTGTTTGGCTCCCCCCTGACTAGACTGTAAGTTCCAGAAAAGTAGGGGATTTTATCTGTTTTTTTTTTCACTACTCTACCTCGAGTGTCCAGAGCAGTATCTGGCACGTATATAGCTGCTAAATAAATCTAATAAGCGAATGCTGTTGAATAAAAGAACTTTAGAGATCACATGAAACAAGCAACTTATTTTACAGTTGAAGAAAGGAAGCAAGTAGCATGTTCATCCCATATGAAGTTAATGGGCAGAGCTGGACTGAACTGGAGAGGTGTCTGGAAGACTCTTGGAGCCTGCCCTTTGAAGCCCTTTTGAAGAAACTAGCCACAGGCTGTTCTTTTCCTTGAACTTACCTTGCTTTGCATTATGCGTGATGGTCATGTTTTTCCCACCTAGAATCTATTCTCTGATAATAGCATTTAGATTTTCCTTGGTGGTGTACTCCAACACCCCCCTGGTTCGTACAGACCGGGTAGAACTGGACCAGAGGTGGACACATGGCCCAGGCCTCACCAATCAGAGCATTACATTCTCTTGGTCACAGTGATTAGTCCAGAGTGAAGGCAACATAACCCAAGGTGGGTCAATGAGATTCCACTATGGAATTTTGCTGAAAGTATTAACAAGGAGACATTCTTACCAGGGTTTGTAAGGTGGTGAGAATGTAAGCGTGGAGCTGCGGATACCCATTTTTGCCACTACCTAGGAAGGGTTAGCCTGAGAATAAAGGCAATACAAAGAGAAGCAGAGCCTACAGATGGTAAGAAACGGAGGCCTGGGGACTTTGAGCAAACCCTGGAATCCAGCTTTACCTGAAAAAGGAACTCGTGTTAATTCCCTGGTTTGCTTAAGTCACAGTGAATCCTGACAAACATATCATGTGATCCAGGTACCATGGTTATATTTATTGAACTGAAAATAGGTCCCCAAACCAAAGACAATTGTGAGAAGGGAACTTATCCTGTGCTTATTTACATGGAGGAGGAGGAGCTCCTATTTCTCATTAGAAAAACTAGTGAAGGAAAACTCCTGAGCTCCTTCCATGGGACGAGGAGTGATTGGTCTGACCGGTGCCTTTGGGAGAAGATGGACACTGAGCATGTTGCCCAGTCCCTTTCCCTTTTTCTTTTCTTGCTGTGACCTGACTGTAGTACTCACATTTCCTCATCCACCTTTGGGAGCCTGTCCCTGAGGAGGAGGCTTGCAGTAATCCAGCATGCGATCAGGTCAATCAATGTAATCCGGAGGGGGAACTGAGTGCACAATGAAGCCATGTTCTCCAATCAGCCTTATAAAGCTGATGCTTTTGAGCCCAGGCAGCCTGATTCATGCGTCTACTTTTTAGTGGGTTTAGAATTTGGAAAGGCTGAGAAGGGTATAATTAGCTATCACCCCGTAAACCCCCAGCATGTTAATTTTCTTTTTGGAAAACTTTGAGAGGCGGGCATGAGGACTGACACTTGGGGGGCTAAAATAGCACACGGAGATCAGGTTTCCGGTGCAGTTGGAGCCCTGGGCTCAAAGGTAATTGTGGGTCAAGTGGGTTTTTGACCTGGGCAGTTTGTGACAGCTACAGTTGTTTGGCACGATTTTAAATGGCAGGGCCCTGAGTACAAGGGCCTCTGGGGAAGGCCTTGACCTAACCCATGTGAGCACAGCTTTGACCTCAGCAGGTGGCAGGGACAGGGATTAGGCCATTGGAAAAAAATCTTTTTGTCCCAGGAAAGGCTTACCTTAAAGAGGGCAGAACTTTAGTCTCCAAACATTTAGGCTCTGGTGGTCGGAAGGTTTTTGCTTCTTGTAGTATGTCTTTCAACAAAGCCTTAGGCTAAACTTTAAAACAGTAGAGGCAGCTATATTATACAGGGTCGGCAGAACTCTTGTTTGTGAGATTGTAGCCCCCTGGCAGCACAAATGCAGGGTGTAGGTGGACGCCACAAAGTTAATAGCCCCAAATCTGTTCTTCTGTAGGTTGTTCTGAGCTTCATTCAGGGCCATGAGCAAGACCCACGAAGGGGCTAATTTCTTAACATTTGGTTTGTCACACGCTGGTAAGGCTCTTTTCACTATTGAGATCCCAGAATAGCGTTGATTTGTTCATTACATAAACCTTGATCATGGCTTTGTATTTAAGGAGCTCAGACTCCACCTTTACCCATAGAACAGGAGTCTATTTTATTAATGAAAACAAAGGAAAAGAACGAGGCCCTTATTAAACAGGAGATAATGTTTCTTCATGGGTTGAGGTAGAGAAACCTAATGAAAACCTAACAGCTAAAAAGGCAGTTAATGAAGCTTATGCCCAGAAGATTTTGTCTCTGGGAAACAGGTTTGCTGAGGAAATCAGGGAGGGATGAAGTTGTTTTTAAAAATATGCTTCTGTCATACTACTAGACAGAGCCAGTGGAAGAGTGACAGGCAAATAAAGGACTGGCTTACTAAACTGGATGGAAGAAGGCAAGGATTTTTTAAAGCTAGAACCTGTGATCTTAGTCGACAGAACAGACAGATATGAAAGGGGACTGAGTTTTTGAAGGCTTGGCTAGGCAGATAATTAAGAGGGAGAAGAGACTCATGCATATATGGGAACTTGAGAGAAAACTGAGGTAATATTAAAGATTAATCAGAAAAAATGGTTATTACTATTTTTAAAGATTTTATTTTAAAACAGTCTCTACACCCAACGTGGGACTTGAAACCACAACCCCAAGATCAAGAATTGTACACTCCACCAACTGAGTCAGCCAGGTGCCCCAGAGGGAAAAAAATTATTTTTAAATGGTGTGAGAACATTGGTTATCCCTCTGGAAAAAAAAAATGAAACAAAACTAAACTGGAGCCTTAACTTATACCATATACAAGAGTAAATTTCAGGGATCAAAAGCAAATAGGGATGCCTGGGTGGCTCAGTCGGTTGAGGGCCGACTTCGGCTCAGGTCATGATCTCACAGTTTGTGGGTTTGAGCCCTGTGTTGGGCTCTGTTAGCTGTGCTGACAGCTTGGAGCCTGGAGCCCACTTTGGACTCTGTGTCTCCCTCTCTTTCTGCCTCTCCCCTGCTCATGCTCTGCTGTCTCAAAAATAAATAAACATTTTTTAAAACTTTAAAAAAAGGAAATCTTCAAAGCTTTTTAGAAGAAAATATAGAATATTGAGATAGAATATGATGACTTCAATAATACATAAAAATACACACATTGTTAAGAAAAATTTTGATGAGCAGCACCTACATGGCTCAGTCGGTTAAGCATCTGACTCTTGGTTTCATTTCATGTCATCATCTCACGGTCATGAGTTAGAGCCCCACATCAGGCTATGCTCTGGCAGTGCAGAGCTTGCTTGGGATTCTCTCTCCCTCTCTCTCTGTCCCTTCCCTGCCTGTTCTCTCTCTCTCTCTCTTAAAATAAATAAAAATAACATTTTTAAAAATTAAAAAGTTTTTTGATCAATTTGGTTATGTTAAAAGTTCAAATTTCCTCAAAATGGATCGAAGGTCTGTACATGAGAGCTAAAACTATAAAACTCTTAGAAGAAAATATAGAGGAAAAGCTTCATGACATTTGATTTGGCGGTGATTTCTTGGCTATCACTCCAAAAGCACAGGCAACAAAAGAAAAAATAGATAAATTAGACTAAATCAAAATTTAAAACTTCTATTCATCAAAGATCATAATCAACAAAGTGAAAAGGCATGCATGAAATGGGAGAGAATATATGCAAATGATATATCTGTCAAGGAGTTAATATCCAGAATATATAAGGGAACTCTCACAACTCAACAACAGAAAGGGGAAAAAAAATTTAAAAACTGGGCAAAGGGCTTCAACAGACATTTCTCCAAAGAAGATATATAAAATGGTCAATAAGCACAGGCAAAAATGCTCAGCATCACTAATCATTAAGGAAATGAAGATCAAAAACACAGAGATAGTCCCTCACACCCATTAGGATGTGGTTACTATAAGATAATAATTGTTTTCTTCTTCTTCTTCTTCTTCTTCTTCTTCTTCTTCTTCTAAATGTTTTGTTTGTTTTTGAGAGAGAGAGAGAGAGAGACAGCTTGAGCAGGGGAGGGTCAGAGAGAGGGAGACACAAAATCTGAAACAGGCTCCAGGCTCTCAGCTGTCAGCACAGAGACCAACGTGGGGCTCGAACCCACAAACCGTGAGATCAAGACCTGAGCCGAAGTCGGACATTTGGACGCTTAACCGACTGAGCCACCCAGGCGCCTCTGCTGCTGCTGCTGCTGCTGCTGCTTCTTCTTCTTCTTCTTCTTCTTCTTCTTCTTCTTCTTCTTCTAATAAACCAAAAGGTAACAAATGTTACCAGGGATGTGGAGAATTTGGAACACTTATGCATTGTTGGTGGCAATGTAAAATGGTGCTGCTGTGGAAATCAGTATGATAGTTCTTCAAAAATTAAACATGGAACTACCATATGATCCAGCAATTCCACTTGTGAGTATGTACCAAAAGAATTGAAAGCTGAGACCTGAAAAGTTGACATCGACGTTCACAGCTGTATTATTCACAATAGCCAAAAAATGGGGCCAACCCAAGTATTCATCAATGGATGGTTAGATAAACAAAATGTGGTCTATCCATGCAATGAAATATTAGTCAGCCTTAGAAATGAAGGGAATTCTGATGCAGGCTTGAACATGGATGAAATTTGAAGATGTTATGTTACGTGAAATAAGCCAGACACAAAAAGACAAATACTGTATGATTCCACTTATATGAGATACTTAGAGTAGTCAAATTTATAGAGGCAGATAGTAGAATGGTGGTTGCTGTGGACTGGAGGATGGAGGGAATGGGGAGTTATTTTTTCATGTATATGGAGTCTCAATTTTGCAAGATGAAAAGAGTTCTGAAGATGGACAGTGGTGATGATTGCAGAACAATGTGAATGTACTTAATGTCCCCGAACCCTACACTTAATTTCATGTTATGCATATTTTATGTTAACACAAATTAACATGAATTTTATGTTATACATATTTTACCCATTAACATGAATTTCATGTCATGCGTATTTTACCAAAGGTAGCATTTTTTAAAGCTTCCACACAACAAAAGACATCATTAAAAATATTCCTCTTAAGTTTTTTATTTATTTAAGTAATCTCTACACCCAACATGGGGCTTGAACTCACAACCCCAAGATCAAGAGTTACATGTTCTCCTGACTGAGCCAGCCAACCACCCCCAAAATATTTTTAAATAAAAAGATAAGAAACAGACTGAGAGATGATATTTGTAATGTGAAAGTCAAAAAGGATTAGTATCTAGAGTATATAAAGAACTTCTTTACATTAATAAAGAAAAAGAGCTCAATAAAAAAGTAGAAAAATATGAAAAATGCCCAACGGGCTGTTAAATTAATTAAACAAAGCCATTAGAGTGAGGTGGCTTAGTGCCGGAGCAGCCTAGGTAAGTGAACCAAAAGCTAAGTCTGTAAATGCCTCAAGGTTAAGAAATTGAAACCTAGGCACAACCTGTCACAAAGAGTCAACCTGGCTCTTTCACATAAGGCAATCACTTAAGGTATAGCCAATCAAGTAATCGCTTTGCTTCCTGGTCTTCTCTAGAAGTCTTGCTCCTAGCTCCTGTTGATGGAGCTCTTCTAACCCACTTGTGGTTTGGTGCTACCTCATAAAATGGATTTGCACTCAAGTAAACTCCTAAAATTTTTAATATGACTCAGTTTATCTTTTAATGAGGGAAGGGCATTTCTGAAGAGAAAAGCCAATTGTCCAATAGACATATGAAGAGATAGACAATCTCGTGATCAGTCAGGTAAATGACTACAGTAGGGAGGCTACATTAGGGTGAGCAGAGCAGAGAAGACCACTCTGAAAGGTGTCATTTGATCTGAAACCTAAGTGAAAATTTGTGGAAAAACAGCCAACCATTCATAACTCTGGAAGAAGGACTTTCCAGGCAGGGGGAACAGCAAGTGCAAATGTCCTGGGCTGGGAATACATTTGGCGATGTCTTAGCTTTGGCCGCCATAACAAAATACTATAAACTGGGTGCCTTAAACAACAGGCATTTATTTTCTCACAGTTCTGAAAGTCTGAGATCAGCGTGCCAATGTGGTTGGGTTTTAGTGAGGCCTCTCTTTCTGGCTTGTCTATTACCTCACCCATAATTCCCATCCTTATGAACTCATTTAACTTTAATTATATCCTAAAAGCCCTGTTTCCAATAACAGTCACATTGGGGATTAGGGCTTTAACATATGAATTTTGAGGGACGTCAACATTTAGTTCATAACACCTTGTTGAAGAGTTTGCTTTAAAAGAGTAGATTTGAGGGCTGACTGGGTAGCTAAGTTGGGTTATGATCTCACGCACTGGGGTCTGTGCTGACAGCTCAGAACCTGGAGCCTGCTTCAGATTCTGTCTCTCTCTCTCTCTCTCTCTGCCCCTCCCCTGCTTGCTCTCTGTCTCTCTCTCATATAAATAAAATACATTTTTTTTTTTTTTAAATGTAGGCTTGTGGTAGCCAGGATTTCGGGACTAAAATGTGGAAGTGAAATCCTAGAGATCAATGGAGGCTGGGTAAGATAGAATGAATCCTCCCATAGTCCATTTTTTTGAAATATAAATAATTGTTCTGTATTCATGCCAAGGGGAATCAGGGGGAAATGATACGGTCTTTTAAAAATGTTCCTTGCCAAAGGCACAAAAACTCTGTCCCTACCATAGGGGGTTTCTCTCCTCTGTGTTTGACAACAGATGAGGATGAAGTTCCTAAACTATTTCTTTGATACCCTCCATGATAATGATAACACAGGGCTCTAAGCTCATGGGTTTTATTAATTGCTAGGGAACAATAAGAGTAGAAGAAATAACAATGTTATTTGTCAAAATAACAACAATTGTCAAAAGTTACAACACGACTCATTCAAATACAGGATAAACATGTCAAAATTTTATTCAACTTGTTAAAGAGGAAACAGTAAGATCGTAAAGCTGATTCAGAGAGCATTTTGAGAAGTATGAAACTAAGATACAAAACTGGTTAATCTCCACAGGGTAATAAAAACTATAAATTTCAGAGTTCATTTTTTTTTGGTACTAGTTAGAAATTATTTGAAACTTTACCAGACAAAAACCTAAGTCTTTAACCAATAATAAATAGCTAGGCAAAAAAAGTTACATTCTTTGGCTTTCATATATGACCAGAGAGCCAAATCTGGCCCTTCTGCTTACATTTGTAATAAAGTTTTATTGAAACACAGCCATGGCCATTTGTTTACATACTGTCTAAGGCTGCCTTTGCTGTACAGTAAGGAAGAATGCTAAGACAACAGAGTTGAATAGTTGAGCATATAACCTGAAAGCCTAAAATATTTACTACCTAGACTTTTATAAGAAAAGTTTCCAGACCCCTGTTAGAGAATCCATCCTCAGGTGGGCTTGTTAAACAGTGTCTCAGGTAACATGGAAAGAACTATGCTGCCCTCTTTTGGTCTTAATTCCAAATTCTGGGTAATGTTTTCTTCAAAAGATGTCTGGCTTAAAAATTTGGGGGACACTTTGAGAGTTGTTACTTCTGGCCTGTAATTCCTAAATCCTCCTGTCCAGCTACTTCAACACTGCAGCACCCCTTTCTGCACTGGTGACTATCTCAGTGCCCCTTAGTCTCCCAACCCTTTCCTTGGAAGGTGGGACTTAGGAACATCTTTAAGTGCAAGAAGGCCCGAAAAATTATTGCTGTTAAGTATTGTCCTTTACAGCATTATTTTTGCTCTGGAGGACAGTCTGTTTCTTAGTAGAACTCCAGTTAGGGCTTGCACATACAAGCACATTCATATGGAAGGTTTTCTTGGAAGAGGGATGTGGGGGGAGGGAGGGTCGTCTCAGCTTCTTTGAATTAAGTTCCAGACCTGTCGCAAACCATTAAGTTCTGAGAAGTCAGTGGTGGTATGTACTTGACCACTATTGTTTCCCTTGTTGCTGGCAAACAGTAGGTACTCGGTAAATACTGAGTAAATGATCCAACCAATGAAAGAATAAAGTTAGAGGGCTTATTTCCTCCTTCAGGTCAGGGCTAGCGGAGGAACGAAGTTTTGGTGACAAAGGTTGCCACCTGCAGGGAAAAAGTGAATCTGCAAGATTCAAAGTCGCTAAAGAAAGCCCTGAGGTAAATACAGTCAACTTCGAGACAAGATTTACCAGAGAATTAATTGTTTTTCTTCAGCTTTTGGCAGAATTAATTAACATCAGTTTGTCTTTCCTTTTTTTTTCTTTTAAAGTAAGCTCTATGTGGAACGTGGGATTCAAACTCATGAGACCGAGATCAAGAGTCACATGGTCTGTTGACTGAGCCAGCTAGACACCCCACTTTGTCCTTTCCAGTTAAGGAAACCTGTACCCTTTCTTTATTTTTTAAAATAGTTTATTGTCAAGTTCGCCTCCATGCAACACCCAGTGCTCATCCCCACAAGTGCCCCCCTCCCGGCCAATCACCCCCTCCTCCCCTCCCCCCCATCAGTCCTCAGTTTGTTCTCAGCATTCATGAGTCTCTCATGGTTTGCCTCCCTTCCTCTCACCCACTATTTTCCCCCCCTTCTTCTCCCCCGTGATCCTCCGTTAAGTTCCTCCTAATCCTCCTATACGTGCAAACATATGGTAGCTGTCCTTCTCTGCCTGACTTATTTTGCTCAGCATAACACCCTCAAGGTCCATCCATGTTGCTACACATGGCCAGATTTCATTCTTTCTCATTGCCATGTAGTATTCCATGGTATAGATAAACCACATCTTCTTGATCCATTTGTCAGTTGATGAACACTTAGGTGCCTGTACCCTTTCTTTAATAACATTTGAAAACTTTTGGAGTGCTTAATAAACATCCAATACCATGCCGCACACACCATTTTGCGACTCGTACCACTATTATCCCTATTTTATAAATGAGGAGTCTGAGCATAGACAGCATGCCCAAGACTACACAGCTAGAAAGCAGCAGATCTAGGGATCTGAGCCCAAATGCCATGGGGCCATAACATGTGCTGTTCATCATTTTTCTATGCTACCTCTGTACACCTGATGTGGAAAATCAGGTGTTTTACATGAAACATACAGAAATACAGTGGACAGAACCTGGGCACTTATCTCTGTGCTTGCCTGAAACACTACTAGCACAATAAAAGAAGAATCAAAGAGATCCAGACTCAGAACGGGAGAGATGAGGACTGCTCATGAGAGATGTCAAATCCTTTTTGGAGGCTAGAGAGTGGAGGGATGATTTGGCTGGGTGGAGAAACCCTAGGTTTTGCTGAAGGAGATGCCTATCAGGAGCAAGCCAGTTGCAGCTGTTGAACTCCAGAAGGGCTCAGGGATTGAGGGTCCCAGGTACCTGGGGTGAGAGGTAGGAGCGAAAGCAGATCATTAATTGCACCAGTAACATACACTAGGATTCGAATAACATAACCTCAGATTCCCCTCCTGTGATTCCTTGCACTGATCCTTGCAGAAGTTTAGGTGTTTATTCTTTGGAGAACATCAAACAGAGCAGCTCTAAGTTCAGAGATAGCATTCAGAGCAAAGAGAGGAGGCAAATGTTAAAAACAGAGGGATTAAAGGCACACATGCTGCTAAAAAGAAATCTGGTTTTTTAAAAATTAAAATAAATAAATAAATAAGCAGCAAGCCTAATGTCGGGCCCCAACTCATGAACAGTGAGATCATGAACTGAGCCTAAGTCAGGTGCTTAACCAACTGAGCCACCCAGGTGTCCTTTCTCCTGTTTTTTTTCAGTAACCATGTATTTACTGAAATATCAGCATTGTTATTCTGAGATTTATCCCTGTGCTAAATGTGTTTTTTGGGGGGGGGATAAATCAAATAATGAGTTATGTTGGAGTTATTGAGAACCAACCTTTATGGTGTGGGAGAAAAGAAATACACATGCAAGCTCAATGTGTTTAAGTAAAACCCCTCTAGTCTTGATTTTATTTGTTTTTACTTTTGGGGTATTTTGATTTTACTTTTTGGTTTTTTAAAGATTCTATTTTTAAGTAATCTCTACACTCAATGTGGAGCTCAGACCTACAACCCCGAGATCAAAATCACACACTTCACAGGCGGAGCCAGCCAGGTGCCCCTAGTCTTGATTTTAATTAGAAACATCGGTATGATGGATTTTATCAGAAAAGTTAAGTACCCAGTTAATAAGAGGTGGAACTAGATTAACCCAGACTGGTCTTGCTCCGAAATTTGTGAGAGTTTGCCTCCTTGGTGCGTCAGGACAGGAGGGCCTCCTGGAGGAGGTGAGATTTGAGGGATAAGTCAGAGCAACAAATGGACATTTTTTCTCATGATCTCTGGAAGATCTGCTTACCATGACCCAGTAATGGTGGCTGATCTGAAAAGATTTTTTTCTGAAATGTCCAAACAGACATTTTGACAAAGGGCCAGCCTGTAAATCATGGTGATCAGTGACCATCAGAAGTTACCCAGGTAGCCAACTGGTCTCCCTCTGTACCATCCCTTTAAATGATTTTTATAAGAGTGACATATATTTTTAACAATTCTTGGAAGTAGGCACTTCCTATAGTACAAGCTTACAGTATTTGTTGAGTCTAATATTTTTTAGACTTGAAAATGTTAATAACCTTTAAAATTTGCTTTCGAGCTTAGTTTAAGCAGTAGGTATTAGGCAATGGTGGCAAGAAGGAAGGATATTTGCCCTATTTTCCAATTTCTCCCCCTAATGGAATATAAGAATATGATTAAGATAGGGAACATAGGCTTTAATATTTTGTTTTATCATTGTGTTTATTTAATTTAAAGATTAATTTTATTTTATTATTTTTTTAAAGTAAGCTCAATGCCCAATGTGGGGCTTGAACTCATGACCCTGAGATCAGGAGTCACATACTCCACCTACGGAGCCAACCAGGCACCTTAAAAAAAATCAGTTTGATTTTAACTGAGAAGTAATGCATTCAAACAATAGATTGAAGAGGGACTCTCCTTCCTTCCTCCTCCCCCGAAACTGTTACAATTACCAGCTTCTTATATCTTGAAGAGAACATTTTAAAAGAAAATTTTTAGGCCTGTTCATGCTTCCTGTAGGGGCGACAGAAGTTAAAATATGACTGATACTATACCATACAATAAGCAGCTGCCTCTGAGGGAGAGCTTGTAGCTGGATTCCGATCGGAAGGACATTCATTCTTTGTTTTAAGGAATTCACAAATGATCTCAGTAAAAAAGAGATATCAATTGTCCAAACAGACCCAGATAAAATAAATCTTTTCTTATTTTTTCTCACCAGGCCATTCCCCCCTCCCCTAATACATGGACAATAATATAGAGATGGGGATTCTGGGATTTGGAATTAGCATTTATTCCATCCATATTTTTCATAACTATGGTCATAATAATTCTGAAGTTTCCACGCCCTTCCAATGTTTTCACTACATGCATCCTTGTCAGATCATGGGTCCTGATTTGGGGTATGAAAAACATGCTTCCACATTGTGAGGTTGATGCTTTTGACACAGGCTTACACAATCTTGTGTTTGCTCTTCTTTGGTCCCCACATTCTTTCCAACAAATTTGGCTTAACAAAAGTTACACTCTTTGAAACAAGCTATAGCAGAAATGATTGACCTCATGACAGGGCAAAATTAAGCAGGTTCAGGTCTCAAGAAGAATCCACTAACAGGCTTCCAGTAAGGGGTGAATAAAAGCAGAACTACCTGAACGTCCGTCCTGAGGGCAACGATGAAAACATGTTTACAGCTCAGACATAGAAACAGAAGTGGGGGAGGAGAGAGCAGTGCTTCTCAGTTGCACCAAGAGGCCAGCTCACTTCCAGTTTTTTGAGGCTCTTCGTCTGCAGAAAAATAAAGAATTCATTTCTTCATTTAATTTTTAAAAAGTGCTCCTGGTACCCCAAGATTGAAATGTAATGTAATTTGTGTCATCACAAAAAGACTGAATTTATTAAGTTCATTAAATTATTAAAGCCAACTAATAAAGCCACAGTGAGACAGCACCGCATACTTATTAGAATAGCTAAAAACAAAAATGAAAGCAAAACTGATGATATCAAGTTTTTACGAGTATGTGGATGGAGCAACTGGAAATCTCACACATTGTTGGTGGGATTGCAAAATGTACAGTTGCTTTGGAAAAAAGTAGACAGTTTCTTATAACATTAAACACACACCCACTATACAACACAGAAATCTTTCTCCTAGGTATATATTCCCAAGATAAATGAAAACAGATGATCACACAAAATCTGTATGTGAGTGTTTATAATGACTTAATTTGTAATTGCCCCAAACTGGAAAGACCCAAATACTTTCTTTTTTCTTTTAAATTTTTAAACATTTATTTATTTTTGAGAGTGACAGAGTGTGAGCGGGGGAGGGGCAGAGAGAGGCGGGGACACAGAATCCGAAGCAGGTTGGGGCGCCTGGGTGGCTTAGTCGGTTAAGCGTCCGACTTTCGCTTAGGTCATGGTCTCGCGGTTCGTGGGTTCGAGCCCCGCGTCGGGCTCTGTGCTGACTGCCAGCCCAGAGCCTGGAGCCTATTTCAGAGTCTGTATCTCCCTCTCTCTCTGACCCTCCCCTGCTCACGCTGTCTCTCTCTCTCTCCTAGAAATAAATAAAAATGTTTAAAAAAAAAATCCGAAGCAGGCTCCATCTAGGATCCAAGCCGTCAACACAGAGCCCGACACGGGGCTCGAACCCACAACCGTGAGATCATGACCTGAGCCAAAGTCGGACACTCAACCGACTGAGCCATCCAGGCGCCCCATAAAACCCAGATACTTTCAATTGGTGAATGAAGAAATTGTGGTATATCCATCATGGAATACTTGTCAGCAATAAAAAGGAGTGGGTTGAAATAAACCTTTGCATATATGGTCAAATGATTTTCAACAAGGGTGCCAAGACTACACAATGATATTATAATTTAGAGTTATATGGTAACAGGTATAGCTACACTTGTGGTGAATATAGCATAATATATAAACCTGTCCAGTCACTATGTTGTGCACCTGAAACTAATGTCACATTGTGTGTCAACTACACTCAGATAATTTTTTAAAAAAAGAAATGGGGTACATATGTGCAATGCAGGTTTAAAAAGAAGGAATTCCTATCACAAGCTACAACCTGGATGAACCCCCAGGACATAATGTAAGTGCAATTAGCCAGTCACAAAAGGACAAATACTGTGTGGTTCCACTTATATGAAGTATCTGAAATAGAATCACAAAAACAGAAAAAAGAAAGGAAGGTGGTTACGAAGGGCCGTGGGGAGGGGAAAGGGAAGTAGTAGAGTTTCCATGTTGTAAGATGAAAAGTTCTAGAGAGCTATTGCATGACAATGTGAAAACACTCAACATTACTGAAATGTATACTTAAAAATTACTATGATGGCAAGTTTAATGTTACATGTTTTTACATTGTTGATACAAACAATATGGATAAATATCAGAGGCATTAGGCTAAATGAGAGAAGCCAGGCCCAAATGGCTGCATGCTGTGTAAGCCCATTGATGTGACATTCAGGAGAAGGGAAAACCTTAGGGACAGAAAATAGATCACTGTTATGAAGGGCTGGGCCAGAGGGAGGGGTTGACTATAAAGGGTCACGAGGGAACTTTTGAGGGTGATAAAATTGTTCTATATCTTAAAAAAATTTTTAATGATTATTTATTTATTTTAATTTTTTTAATGTTTTATTTATTTCTAGGACAGCGAGAGAGAGACAGCGTGAGCAGGGGAGGGTCAGAGAGAGAGGGAATCACAGAATCTGAAACAGGCTCCAGGCTCTGAGCTGGCAGTCAGCACAGAGCCCGACGCGAGGCTCGAACCCACGAACCGCGAGATCATGACCTAAGCGAAAATCGGACGCTTAACCGACTAAGCCACCCAGGCGCCCCAATGTTTATTTATTTTTGAGAGGGAGAGAGAGAGAGAGAGAGAGAGAGAGAGATCAGGGTAGGGGCAGAGAGAGAGGGAGACACAGAATCTGAAGCAGGTTTCAGACTCAGATGTCAGCACTGCTTAACCACTGAGCCACCCAGTTGCCCCAAAATGTTCTGTATCTTTATTGTAATTGTTCTATATGTTGATTGTAATTGTGGTCACATGATTGTATGTGTTTCTTAAAATTTATAAAACTATGCCCAAAAAAAACCCCTGTACATTGCTGCATGAGAAAAACCTGTACATCAAAAATTGTATACAAAGAAATTTATACTGTATATAAATTATCCCTCTTAAAAATGACTAAAAAGAAATATGAGTAAATATGGCAAAATGTCACACCTGATCATGGTACACACCACGATGAATGTGGTATTCTTTTTTGTAAATTTCATTGTGATTGAAGTGTTTCAATTCATAAATAATAAAACTAAAAATGATTCTTAAAAAGCTAACTGGTTTATTCTAACTGCAGTATGGTCCATTAGTAGGATACAGGTTTAAAAGTGTCTAGTAGGGCTGCCTGGGTGGCTCAGTTGGTGAAGCGTCCGACTTTGGCTGAGGTCATGATCTCACAATTTGGGGGTTGGAGCCCTGCATCGAGCTCTGTGCTGGCAGCTCAGAGCCAGGAGCTTGCTTTGGATTCAGTGTCTCCTTCCTCTCTGCCCCTCCCGCTGCTCATGCTTTCTCTCTCTCTCAAAGATAAATTTTTTTTAGAAAAGTGTCTAGTAAACAAGAAATTCTTATTTCATTCCTGTAAGTGTATGTCTGTGACCATATTTATTATGTCATTTTTAGGAAAGGTCAAACTTGTAAATCTGAGACCTTTTAAGAATGTGAAGTCTGCTCTAATTCTTCTCCTGTCCTTATAATGTTTCAGAACAAGAATAGCACCTGGTGGTTGACTGGGCACGTGAGGAATGAGAGGAAGAGAGAAGTTGAGGATTATTTTTCCCCCAGGTGTTGATTTAGAAAGCAACTACTGGTCTGTTCACTTCAGTCAAAATGGGAGTCAGTCCTTTGTCCTCACACAGCCTTGATCTCCTTGTAGTGCTAAGCAATTCCTTTATAAAGCTAGATGGTTCTGCCTCCCTCTTTGTACCATATTTGACTAAACTGAATAAAGATAGGAAAAACCGGATACCTAATTTTAGACAGGTTAGAAACCAATTTACCCCAAACCATACCAAAGACCGAGAAAGAGTAGTTAACTCTGCCTTAAAAAGTCAGCCTTAGCTATTTCTCCACCGAGCCCCTCCTGTCTTTGTTTTCCAGTCTCCTCATATGAGGCAGCCTCCAAATGCAGAATTCCAGAAAGCTGAATTGTCTTGATTCCTCCCAATGTTGGCACAGACTATAAGGAATTCTCAATGCCAATAATCCTAGAGAAACAGATGGACATTTTTAATCACAGGCAATTATGCTCAACCCAAATGATGCAGTGTTGGAAAAAATATGGAAATTGATCTTAGCCTTCCTTGTGTCCTTCCATCCTAATGAAGGAAACTGCCAAGGGCTGGGGAGAAAGCAGGGAGAAAAGACCATCTGGGTTGAAAGATGAAAAAGCCTGGCAGAAATGGGTCACATGTGAAATGAAAAGTTTCAATGTTCCCAAGGTTTGCAAAATGGATCTGAGTTGACTGTGGCCCTCATTTCAACTTTGCAAGATGTCATAAAATTACCTTTGGGCAACCAACTGAGTGTTTGAAATTGGACAAAAAGGGGTGGGAAGATTATTTCCCAAATGATAAAAATGAAAATGTTGGAGCCAAAAGGCACCTCATCAAAATTTAATCCAGCAGTCTAAAATTTCAAAACAGAAAACAGGGCAAAGAGATTCACAAATATTAAGGAACAGAAAGGAAAGTAGTACAGGGCAGGAGGGTTTACTGGGTGGCTCATTCGGTTCAGCATCTGACTTTTGATTTTGGCTCAGGTCACTATCTAACGATTCATGAGTTCGAGCCCTTCATCAGGCTCTGCGATGACAGTGCAAAGCCTGCTTGAGAGTCTCTCTCTCTCTTAAAAAAATAATAAACAATAAAATATAAAAAGAAAAGTAGTACCTGGAAGCAAAGAGAAGGTTTCAAAAAACAACAGTAAGTCCTGGATTTAGAAGTTATGAAATTAAGGTTTGGAAAATACAGTTTTGTTTTTGTTCTTGTTTTTTAAAGGGAAGCATTACATCAGTTATTAAAAGTGATCCAGAATTTCAGTCAGATGTTAAAATAATCCTTTGTAGAAAAAAAAAAAATATCTGTAGTATACATTTGATCCAATTATATTTTTCTATACTTTTGCGGGTATGCCAGAGAAAGGTGCTACAAGTGTCACTTTGATGATTCAGTTTTGCTGTATAAATTTAACAAACTAGATATATGTACTGTTTTGGCATTTTTCTGAATTGGTAAATGTGTTTCTTGAGTAAATACCATGAGATTTTAAGTATTTTGACATTTACTTCTGAACTGTAAGGAGGTTAAGGGTCAATGATATAGGCAACATCCCTGGACTGGGGTATCTTTATAAATAAGCCAGCTTAACTCTACACATTCAATGCAATTCCCATCAAAATTGCACCAGCATACTTCTCAAAACTAGAACAAACTATCCAAAAATTTGTATGGAACCACAAAAGACCCCGAATAGCGAAAGTAATACTGAAAAATAAAACCAAAACGGGAGGTATCACCATCCCAGACTTCAGCCTCTACTACAAAGCTGTCATCCTCAAGACAGTATGGTATTGGCACAAAAACAGACCCATAGACCAATGGAACAGAATTGAGAACTCAGAAGTGGACCCAAAAGTATACAGCCAACTGATCTTTGACAAAGCAGGAAAGAATATCCAATGGAAAAAAGACAGCCTTTTTAACAGATGGTGTTGGGAGAACTGGACAGCAACATGCAGAAGAATGAAACTAGATCATTTTCTCACACCATGCACAAAAATCAACTCAAAATGGATAAAGGACCTGAACGTGAGACAGGAAACTATCAACACCCTAGAGGAGAAAGCAGGAAACAACCTCCTTGACCTCCACCGCAGCAACTTCTTACTTGACACATCCCCAAAAGCAAGGGAATCGAGAGCAAAAATAAACTGTTGGGACCTCATCAAGATTAAAAGCTTCTGCACAGCCAAGGAAACAACCCAGAAAATTAATAGGCAACCAACGGAATGGGAAAAGATAGTTGCAAATGACATATCAGATAAAGGGTTAATATCCAGAATCTATAAGGAACTCACCAAACTCCACGCCCGAAAAACAAACAACCCAGTGAAGAAATGGGCAGAAGACATGAACAGACACTTCTCCAAAGAGGACATCCAGATGGCCAACAGACACATGAAACGATGCTCAGCATCCCTCCTCATCAGGGAAATACAAATCAAAACCACACTGAGATACCACCTCACGCCAGTCAGAGTGGCTAAAATGAGCAAATCAGAGAACTCTAGATGCTGGCGAGGATGTGGAGAAACGGGCACCCTCCTACACTGTTGGTGGGAATGTAAACTGGTACAGCCCCTCTGGAAAACAGTGTGGAGGTTCCTCAGGAAACTAACAATAGAACTCCCTTATGACCCAGCAATAGCACTGCTAGGAATTTACCCAAGGGATACAGAAATGCTGAGGCATAGGAGCACATGTACCCCAATGTTCATAGCAGCACTCTCCACAATAGCTAAAACATGGAAAGAGCCTAAGTGTCCATCAACAGATGAATGGATCAAGAAGATGTGGTTTATCTATACCATGGAATACTACATGGCAATGAGAAACAATGAAATCTGGCCATGTGTAGCAACATGGATGGACCTTGAGGGTGTTATGCTGAGCGAAATAAGTCAGGCAGAGAAGGACAAATATCATATGTTTGCACGTATAGGAGGATTAGGAGGAACTTGACGGAGGAACAAGGGGGAGAAGAAGGGCGGAAATGGTGGGGGAAAGGGAGAGAGGCAAACCATGAGAGACTCTTGAATGCTGACAAAAACTGAGGACTGATGGATGTGGGGGGGAGGGGGGGATGGGCATGAAGGAGGGCACTTTGGGGATGAGCACTGAGTGTTATGTAGAAACTAATTTGACAATAAACTATTTGTAAAAAAAAAAATAAATAAAAATAAACATTATTTTCTAATAGTAAAAAAAAAAAAATAAATAAATAAATAAATAAATAAATAAGCCAGCTTACATTGTAGGGGCTTCCTTAAGTCTTGTGGTCTCCATCCCCTTTGGTAGAGTTACATACAGATTTGTTTTCTTTCTTTTCTTTTAAAACTTGTAAATCATTGTTTAATTTTCATCAATTTTTGTCTGTAAAAAAGTGTTCATTTGTCCCCTTATTACAACCGGGTGACTAGAAGTTATCTGGCAGTCCCCTTAGACTTGGCCATCTAATACAAAAAAGGCAAAGCAAGTGTCAACATCATATGGCACAGAGAAAATTCAAGGACAGTGATCTGTTCTCTGTGTTCCTTTAATATTTAGTAGTTATAGGGGTGGCTGGGTGGCTTAGTTGGTTAAGGAGCCAACTTCAGCTCAGGTCATGATCTCACAGCCCCATGGGTTCAAGTCCCTTGGGCTCTGTGCTAACAGCTCAGAGCCTGGAGCCTGCTTCTGATTCTGTGTCTCCCTCTCTCTTTGCCCCTCCTGTGCTCACACTCTGTCTCTCTCTCTTTCAAAATAATAAACATTACAAATTAAATATATATATGTACATATATATATATATTTAGTAGCTTTAGGAGATAGGTTCCCAAAGTTCCCTCCCATTACTGGTTGCGTCAGGACATTTGTTAAAAATATTGATTCCTGGGGGTGTCTGGGTGGCTCACTCTATTAAGCACTGGACTCTTGGTTTCACTTCAGGTCACCATCCATCCCAATATCGTGGAATTGAGCCCCACGTGGGGTTCCTCCCTGAGTGTGCAGTCTGCCTAAGGTTTTCTCTCTGCCCGTCCCTCTCCCCTACTCATGCTCTCTGTCTCTAAAATAAAACATAAAAAATAAAGTCTGGCAATATACCACAAAAATACCATAAAAAATCACGTAATTAAAAAAACATATATATTGATTCTTGGACCCTACTCTAGACTTACTGAGTCTGAATCCCAGGACAGTATTTGAAAACACGCATTTTTTAAACAAGTCTGGAAGTTGGTTTGCAAAGTACCGCGGACATTTACAATCCCTTCCCCCCTACTAGCTCCCACTAGCCTCACACCACGCCAGGTCCTCATCCCTCGCCCCGCCCCCGTCCCCGCCCCGCCCCGCCCCCGTCCCCGCCCCTCGTAGCCCGCCGTACCCAGGCACCGCCCACCGCCCCCGCGGTCTCGTGTGGCCTCGCGGGACCCTTCCCATAATGCCCCGCGCCAGGCCGCCGCGGTTGCCAGGCAACGCGCGTGGTCCCCGCTGCGGGTCGCGTGGGGTTCCGCGGGGCGATGGGTTCCCAAGGCCTTCGGCCGCTCCTTCTTGTGCTCCTGGATTGCTGGGCCTCCGTGAGTGCCCAGACCGCAGCCACTCTGCCTGTGACGACGGAGGGCTTCAACTCTACGGAGGCAGCCTGGACGACTCTCCGACCCGCCTTGTCTCCTAGGCCCCCCGGAACCCCCAAGGCCCCCGGGTCGTTCTCTGGCCCCAGGCCTACCCCGGTCACGGACGGTGGGTACCAAGTGGCAACTCCTGGGGGATCCAGAGTGATCCAACCTGGAGCGGTTAGCCCGGGTGAGGATGTGACAATGACAGTTAACATTTATGGAACACCTATATGTGTGCAGGTATTCCTGAGTATTTCATAGGCCTTGATTCTCTCAGCCGCCCTTAGGGGTAGACGTCAGTATCCCTCCCCTACACATGAGAAAATCGAAGCGCACAGAGCATAGTGGAACAATATAAAATCTTTGAAATTACTTGCAGGGGTCCTCGACAACATTAATGCTAAAGGTAATAATGAACGAATCATTACACCTTTGCAGCCGAAGGTGAAATTGTGTAAATCCAACGTTTCTGGGAAATTATGGAAGTTGAATGCATAAGATGCGTTGAACTTTTCCTTTATTAGAGATGCCAAGTGTCTAGCTTACTAAATGTGACTAGGCCCTTGTCCATTAACTCGAATTATGAAAACCCAGGATTCCTCCCATGTTGAGTTGGAGGTGGGAGGTGATGAGGTGAGGGGTTATGCCCACCTCTTAGGATTCATCATTAGGGATAATTAACATATTTCTCAGAAAGTAATCTAATGCTGGAGTTACACATTGGTGAATATTTTATAATGTGATATGACATGGATGAGTAAGGGGATGGCTGTAACCCTGAGATGCCCAGAATGCAAAATTTTGTGAATATGCATTTTTTTTGGGTGAGGGTTCTTAGTAAAAAAAACCAAACCAAAAACCAAAATCTTTAAGTCCTCTGACTGTAACCCCAGTAGGTATGCAGTACTTTTTTCCCCTTGTGAGAAAAAGATCTTGAGTAAGTCTCAGTAAGTAGCAAAGTCGTGATCGGCTGACACTGTGTACTCTAGGACTTCAGTTCCTGAAATATCATTTTTCCAGAGGGCCTCCTTTATGAGTAAGGAAAAGTACAGAGAAATACATTTTCTTTTTCAGTGTATGTAAATCAAACTTCTATATTGAAACTGTTGATTTGGTGAATTAGTAGGGGAGGTAAATAAATGATAAATGGGAACAGAATTCAATATCCAAAATTCTCTAAGGTTTGGACTGAGTTGTCTTTTATTCATCTAAGTATTTTCATCTGTTTATTGGTTTCTCCCCAAAATGGATCTATTTGTGAACCATCATTATTAGGGCATGTGTTCAGGGCAGTTTTTCCAGTATAGAGGGTGCATTTGCACTTCATCTTTTTAAATGATCCCTCTCTAGATCTGGGATTATAATGATAAGATCCCTCTCTAGATCTGTGACTATAATAAACGACAGCTGGCATTTATTAACTGCTTACTGTGTAGCAGGCTCTGCTAAGCTTTTCATCTTTAATGTATCTCATTTAATCCCCGATGGTGTAGGTTATCCCTATTTTCCAGGTGGGTGAATTACTTGCCCGATTTTAGGTCCCATCCCTGGTATGTGTTGGAGCAGGAGCTGACTGAGTGAAGAACTGGACACCATGTGCAGAAAGGGTTACAGGTGGAAGAGAATGATAACTTTAGTCTCGGTCTGAGCTCTGGTCATTAGTATTTTGCTCTGGAGCCAGGCATGTAGATGTTAAGAGGTATAGAAGAGCAGCTGAGTGCTACTTAGACCTTGGGAGTGCTCAGCAGATACTTGTTGGCTGATTAAGTACACTCACATCCTGGATAGAGACCTTTTTTTTTTTTCTTCTTCCCTAAGTGGAGTTATTAAACACTATTGCTTTGTCCTTACTAGTCTTATAGTTACTTTCAAGGGTTTTGAGTTTTGAAAAACAAGTCAAGACTGTAATTTTAACACATAAGACAGGGAACCTCAACACTATTTTTTTTTAACGCTAGTGTGCGCGAGTTGCCTTTTCATTTCACTAAGCACATTGGAGAGTCCTTGGCTAGAGGGAAGTATGTAAGCTTAAGGGGGAAACTTTTGTGTCTCAGATGAAGAAAGGATTGTGTATTTATTGGCAAAACCTTCCTCTTATTCTTACACTTCTTTCCAGAGTATGCTATTGTACCTTTTTTGAGCTATGTTTTTCTAAAGTTGATTTTTGTTGTGAAATAGTTCCCTCATGCAAATCGGAATGTTGACTCTCTACCAATATTTGCTTGAGATCCTTGTTTGTTTTGTGTGAGTTTTTTTTTTTTTTAAAGGAAACAAAACATTATAGGTAAGACTAAAGCGTGATCTTATTCTCCCCTTCCCAGGAATAATTACTACCATGAATTCAGTATGTATCATTCTTTTTTTTTTTTTTTTTAAATGTTTATTCATTTTTGAGAGAGTACAAGCAGAGGTGGAGCAGAGAGAGAGGCAGACACAGAATCGGAAGCAGGCTCCAGGCTATCAGCACAGAGCCTGATGTGGGGCTCGAACTCACAAACTGTGAGATCATGACCTGAGCTGAAGTCGGCCACTCAACCGACTGAGCCACCCAGGTGCCCCAGTATGTGTCATTCTTATGCTCTGCCATCTTTAAAAGGGTTATTTCTCTCCTGTTTGACAGAACAAAATAGGGATTTAAAAATTCAGATAGTCATTATTATTAAAAATTAAATATTACAGACTGGGGAGATTTCTACCCTTTCTATCTCCCCTCCTGTGCTTTATTGTCTAAGTTATCAGAGATATTTCCAGAACCCCAAGTACAAAGCACCTGAGCCAGTTTGATTTTATGTCAGTAGTTCGTGAATGTGGGCTCAGTTTCAAAGCCACAGGTGAATCTGAGGAGAGAAACAAGATTGAGCACCCTGATTCCTGGCGGCCTTCATTGGGCTCTTCCTCTGAGTGAGGACCTCCCAAAGAGGGGCCTGGGAATCTGTACTCTTACACCAGTGGTTCTTACAGTCCGGCAAGTGATTTAGCATTGCTGGTTCTTAAATTATCAGCATCACCTGGATGTTTTGAAAAATACAAATGTCTAGGTTTCATAGTCAGCTTAGGAGAAATCTTTGTAGGTAAAGCACAAACAGAACTTTCCAAATGAGTCAGAGGATTAGCTATTTTGGGGAAACTTCAGATTGAGGAGTATTCAAACCGACTAATTTTCACTTCACAAATCCGTCCTGCTCCCCAGTGTCAACCCAAAGTGCAGTAGGAAAAATAAAATGGACCTTTTGTATGCTATGGAGTTTTGGTACTTTGCAGTGGCAGGGGGCAGTCACTCCCTGCTGATTATGAAGCTCTCCATCCCACCTCTTTTGTTTCTATAGTTGCTGCTCTGTGTGTCTGTGACTTGTCTCCAGCACAGTGTGACGTCAACTGCTGTTGTGATCCCGATTGCAGCTCCGTGGATTTCAGTGTCTTTTCTGCCTGTTCAGTTCCGAGTGTAACGTAAGTTTGTGATGCATGCAGTTTTGATGGAACTGGACCAAGATTATAAGATCTGGGGACAGAAAGTGAAAACTCTTCCAGGCTGAAAAACCCAAACCTGGCTTCCTGAATTTTGCATCCTTCAGAAGCCATGCTGTCCAAACCAATATGTTTGGAGTATGCCTTATTTGCATCTAGCCAGCTGATTGTGCAGGCAAAAGAGAAGAGAGAGTCTACTTTGTTGAAAGTATAAGGAAATCTTTGTTTCCGGAGACTGAATTACATTTCACTCTGATTTGTAAACCGATAATGTGCACATTTTTGTATAGGTGAATTTGTCATCTATATATAGCCTAGGGTGAAAAGTGCAGTTTAATTTTACAGCTTTTGTTGTGGATATAGTACTTGTAACAAAAATTAAACATAGGAAAGCTTGGTTCATACTTTTCTGATGTGTAAAATCTACTGGAAATTCTCACCGTTCATACTGTATTGGAGAACAATGGCAGCTAACATTCCCAGTCTGTTATAAGGTGAAGAAATAATCTCTTCTGAATGATTTGTTTCTCATAATTCCGATTTCAAAGCTCTTTTAAAAATATAGCACTTAAAAAAGGTTAATTTATTCAGGATGGGACCAGTTTATTATTCAGAGAAAGCTAACTTAAATTTAGTCTTGTAGTAAATTGTAGCAGTTGATACTTGGTAGATTGAATGCTTTTTGGAAGTAGGATGTGTCTGTCCCATGAGGAACTATTTTTTTGACCAGTGAGGAATTGAATCTACTCCTAATATTGTAAAAATGTTTGGAGAATGACATGTTTTAGTTAGATTATTTTTCTGGCTAACTGGTCTACACCATGGTTAAATTATTCTGTTTTTCTGCCTTAGTAAGTAACAGGAGCCTGAGAGAGATTTCGGATCCCAATTTGAGATCATTATTTAGAATGTCTTCTTTTTATTAGAGCTGAATTTTAGATATAGACTATTTAGAATGTGGGACAGCAAACTTTCCTGTAAAAGGCCACATAATAAATACTTTAAGCTTCACAGGCCAGGGGTGCCTGGGTGGCTTAGGTGGTTGAGTGACCAACTCTTGATTTCGGCTCAGGTCATGATCTCATGATTCATGAGTTTGAATCCCGCATCAGGCTCCACACCAACATAATGTAGAGCCTGCTTGAGATTCATTCCCCCTCTCTCCCTCAACCCCTCTCGCCTCCCTCTCTCTGACCCTCTCATGTGTACTCTTTTTCTCAAAATAAATAAATAAACTTAAAAAAAAAAGCTTCATAGACCAGTGGTCTCTGTTGCAACTTCCTCAACTCTACCATCAATGAACAAAAGCATCCATAGGTGGTGTGTAAATGAATGGGCATGACTGTGTTTCAATAAATCTTTACAAAGTTAGGTGTGGTTTGTGGACTTCTGGTATAGATGTTAGAGCTGAATCCATAGTGCCCTCAGGAAAGAATCTCAGAATTTTGTTTAGTTTTTTCCCCCCCTTTATTTATTTATTTATTTATTTACATTTAAAAAGTGGTTACTTTTATGAATATTCTTTTTTTAATTTATTTTTTAATTTACATCCAAGTTAGCATATAGTGCTACAATGATTTCAGGAGTAGATTCCAGTGATTCATCCCGTGTGTAATACCTAGTGCTCATGCCAACAAGTGTCCTCACCAATGCCCCCACCATTTACCCCATTTCTCTACCAACAGCCTCTCCAGCAGCCCTCAATTTGTTCTCTATATTTAAGAGTCTCTTATGTTTTGCCCCCCTTCTTGTTTTTATACTATTTTTGCTTCCCTTCCCTTATGTTCATCTGTTTTGTATCTTAAAGTCCTCATGTGAGTGAAGTCATATAATCCTTGTCTTTCTCTGAGTGGCTAATTTCACTTAGCATAATACCTTCTAGTTCTATCCACGTAGTTGCAAATGGCAAGATTTCATTCTTTTTGATTGCCGAGTAATACTCCATTGTGTGTGTGTGTGTGTGTGTGTGTTGTATCTATATATTCCACATCTTCATTCATCTGTCAGTTGACATTTGGGCTCTTTCCAAACTTCGGCTATTGTCAGTAGTGCTGCTATAAACATTGGGGTACACGTGCCTCTTTGAAACAGCACACCTTTATCCTTTGGATAAATACCTAGTAGTGCAATTGCTGGGTTGTAGAGTAGTTCTATTTTTAATTTTTTTGAGGAGCGTCCATACTGTTTTCCAGAGTGGCTACACGAGTTTGTGTTCCCATGAGTTAGTTTTACTTATGATTTTCTCTTAAATACGAAGTGTAAAAATAGTGAAATAAAAGTTAATAATCCTAATTAATTGATTATTTTCATTATGTAGGTTCTAATTCATAAAAGGTTTATTTACATTTGCTAAACTGTCAACAGCTAATTCTATTATCTAATGATTTGTAAATTTACTGTTAAGACTATTAGATTAATGTCTGTTTTCCTCACTAGATGTGAGTTTCATGAAAGCAAGAATAATATCCCTCCTACACACTTTCTGTCACTAGTGTCTAGTCTAGCCCCTGCCACATAGTTGGCCGTCATTAGAAGTGAGTTGACTGTTTGAGTGAGATTCTCCCCTCCATGCCAAACCGGCCCTCTGGTATTCTCTTTTGACTTCTCTACCATTGTTCTCTCAGGAAGACACCCAGGCCAGAACCTGGATGCTTCCCTGACTCCTGCCGCTTCTTTGCCTTCTCAGTCTAGATGTCTTTCACACCTGGCTGTAGCTTCCATGAGCACCAGGGATAGAAGATGAGCTACATGCAGCCAGGCCCTCAAAGACTTCACTCACAAAGGGAGATAGAGGAGTGGGTGGCACTTCTGCCCCAGGCACTGAGACAACGGAGAGGAATGGCATCTAACCTAGGCAGTTGGCCTAGGGAAGTCTTTCTAGAAAAGACCATCTGAGCTGGGTCCTGAAGGACGAGTAGAAGTTGGCAGCATGGAATCAGGGGAAGGCATTCTAGGCCAAGGGAGCCGAATGACAGAGTACATGAGGGGGAGCACGGCCCATTGCCTTAACTGCAGGTAGCTGAGTGCAGCTGGAGAGCAGGGCTGAGAGGAGTGTGTCGCAGTGGCCAGGGTCAGATCCCGAGGGGCCTTGGGTGTAGGCTGAAGGGTTTGGGTTTCGTCCTGAATTCTGCAGGGTGCCAGGGTATGAGGGGATTAGATTCCGACCTTAAGCAGTTCTGTGGCAGCACGGATGATGATGGGTCACAGGGCCTAAGCCTGGTGGCAGGGCACCAAGTAAGAAACTGTTGGAGGTGTGAACAGGTGCCCTCCTCTCCACGGGGACGGTCATGACGAGAGACCTACGCAGAACCGATACTCCTCCACTGCACGGGATTTGAGAGTGGGCAGACCGGAAGGGGAAGAGTGAGGAGTCCCATTCTACTGGATTCCTTACACTAGGACTTGCGTCTGTCCACTGCTACTCCCTCTGTATGAGGTCACATCTTGTCAGTTGCCATAAAAAAGCCTTCAGAAGCTCTCGTTAACTACAGACTTCTTAGCCTGAATTCAGATCTATCCCCAAACTCAGATCCTATTTCCCACTAACCCCCATCTTGTCTCCTCTACACAGCCTAACTTTGGTACTCAAGAGTTTTCTAGACTCCATCAGTACATTACCCATCCTTGGCCAATGCCATCCTTGTATTCTCTAACTCTTGTGCAGCCTTTTAGACCCAGTAGGTCTCGTAAATTTTTCAGTGCTGGATCTTATAAATACTACTTACCGGTTTTCAGAAATATTCTTTATGCCCACAGTAATGACCGATATGCCATTAGAACTATACAGAGCTTTTGGAAAAGTGGCCACTTATAAAATGAATTGATAGCTTCCTTATACTTCAGCAATAACCATCAAAAAAATACAATGAAAATGGCTTCTATTCATAACACCCCATAGAAATGTCACATAAAACATAAGTACTTAGAATTTGTGTGAAGAAAACTGAAATATGGTGAAAGACCTAAAATATTTGAATTTGAATACATGGAGAGAGAATTTTTGTAGTGGGATGAGAAGAATCATTATGTAAACACTTAAACCAACTTGTAAAAACTTAATTTGTGGGGGTGCCTGGGTGGCTTCGTTGGGCATCTGGCCCTTGATTTCAGCTTAGGTCATGGTCTTGTGGTTCGTGTGCTGGCAGCACACAGTGTGCTTGGGATTCTCTCTCTCTTTCTCTGCCTGTCCCCTGCTCACTCTCTCTCTCTCTCTCTCTCTCTCAAATAATTAAATAGATAAAAGTTTAAAAAATGTGTAAGTGTAATTCCATTGTCAGATGGAGGAGGGATAATGCATCAACATGATTGAAAATTCATCTAGAAAAATAAACCTGAGAATGGCCAAGACATTGAATAAGAAGAGCAAACTATCAGCTTTCAAACATGTAACATTATAATAATGAAAGTAATGCATATTACTTCAAGATAGATAGGTAAATCATGGGGTGAGAATAGAAAGGCCAAAAATCAGTTCTGTGTACTGATTTTAAAAACCCACATAATGTTGTGTATTTTTTTCCTATTTATTTAATATATAGTAACTATGGTATTTTACAACAATGGAGTAAAGTTTGGATCATTCATTAAATGATGTAAGATGATAACTATTGAAAAATAAAAATGTTAGACTTCTGCTTTATAGCATTATACCAAAGTAAATTACCAATAGATCAAAGGGTGAAATGTTAAAAAAAAAATTAATGAATAAATGAAAAATATAGATGAACATTTGTTAATCTTAGGTTAAGGAATGTCTTTTAAGCATAAGCCCACAGGCACACCATAAAAGAAAAGATTAATAATTTTATTTAAAAAATTAAGGGGTGCCTGGCTGGCTCAGTTGGTGGAGCATGTGACTCTTGATCTCGGGGTTGTGAGTTCAAGCCCCATGTTGGGTGTAGAGATTACTTAAAAATAAAACCTTTAGGTTAAAAAAAAATATTTTTTTAAGTAAGGCTCCATGCCCAGCATGGAGCCATGCCTAGCATGGAGCCTAATGCCGGGCTTGAACTCACAACCCTGAGATCAAGACCTGAGCTAAGATCAAGAGTCCAACACTTAACTGACTGAGCCACCTAGGTGCCCCAAAAATAAAATCTTAAAAAAATTAAAAAACACCATATTTATGTGTTATTTATGACAAAAGCACCATAACATTGAAAGGTAGTAAATGGAAAAAATGTACAACATATGACAAAGGAGATTCTTAAAAATATTGATTCTTGCAAACCAATGAGAAGACAAACATTCTAATAAAAAGTGTCCAGTAGGTATAAAGAAGCACCTTACCTAAGAAGAAACACCAGTGAGCAATAACCATATGGAAAAATGTTTACACTCACTAGTAAATGAGAAAAGTCAAATTAAAACAATGAGGTAACAGATTTTTGCCTGTGAAGTTGGCAGAGCATAGAAACTGAATAATATGTATTCTTGGCAAGAGTACAGGGACATAGGCACTCTTATTGCGGTACTGGTGAGTACGCGCCTTCCCTTTCTGGAGGGAATCTGGCAATATGTCTCAGAAGCCTTGAACAGTACACCTACCTTCTGACCCAGCAGTTCTACCTCAGGGAACACAGCCTGAAGAAATAGCTGAAGAGATTCATAAATATGTGTAAGGATGATGTTATAGTGTTATATGTAATTGGGGAAAATGAGAAACAACCTAGGCCAACAGTAGAGAATTGGCAAAAAAAAAAAAAAAAAATTGGGGTATATCTTACTTACATACTTTGGTATAGAATGAAGCCATTTCGTATAATGCAAAAACATACTGATGACATGGGAAATGTTGGGCCGTATATACTGAGAAAAGGCCTTAAGGCTGCATGTAGAATATGATCCCATTTTTGTTACATTACTATCTTCACAGCCTACCTGTATCAAAATGATTAGAGTTTGTCAAGTCTGGGATCAGTGGAAGTCTTGACTGTACCCTAACTTCTAAGCCCCCAAACTTCCAGATGACTTCACATTTTCTGATTTTCAGTCTTTTGAAGGCAGATTTATTCTATAAACAAGGAACTTTGGATCCATTCTGGGTACTTGTAAAAAAATCTGAAGTTCTGCAAACTTTTATAATTGATGGTGTCAGAGTTTACAAGGTTCATTTACATTAAAATTATTCCCTGATCTATATTCCGTACTTGACAAGATTTCCTTAAAGGTTATTCTACTTGTCTTAATATTTTCTCTGTTAAAGGAAAAGGTTTCAAATGCCAAACATTTTAACACTGAATAAACCAAATAAAAATGGATTCAGTTCTAACATCACACTTTCATAAATATCTTCCATGTAGTTGTTAACATAGTACAGTACAAGCATCTGACAGTTTTAAAATAATCTTGCTAAGATTGTGTGCATATGCCTTAAAATTTTCTATTATTATTTTTTAATTTCCAGGGGTGATAGTCAGTTTTGTAGTCATAAAGCAGCCATCTACTTATTAAATTTTACAGCAAATCCACCTCAAAGGATATTTAAACTCGTCGACCAGATTAATCCATCTATTTTCTGCATTCATATTACAAACTGTAAGTATTTGATGGTAATATACTTTGAGAAGCCCTGGAAATTTTTTCTTTAGAAAGTTCTTTTATGGAAAAATGTCTCATTCAGTTAGATTTCAAGCAATTATTTTATGGTTTGGCTCAGGTATATCTTCTGAGGCCTTTTCATAGGCGACTACAAATAACTTTATAGGCTTGTGGGCATGCACGTTTCATTAAAACTAATGTGCTTATGCAGTTGTCTTTTGAAGTTGCATACTTTATTTCACAGGTGTTTATAATATGTAGGCATGCATAGGAATTTAGACTTATTTAGGTTGTGTGTACATTTATGTATTTTTTTATTGCCTCCTGGTTTAATGGTTGAAAATCAGGTTCAGCTTTGGTTTCAATTTCCTTTTTTCTCTTTTATTTTTACTAAGAATATTTGCATGAAAACAGGATCTTTATTTTTATCTGAGCATTGAGCTCAGATAGGTATCTAGAGCCAAAAGTACATGTAAGTATAAAATGTTACCAAGATATCCAAGATCAGAGACAGATTTATGATTTTATCTTAAACTTCATCATCATTTCAGAACGTCTTTATATTTTGAGTTCATTCTCTTGCAGTTGAAAACCAGGCGAATGCTCTGCGATTGGTAATCTAAAGTAATGACTGGTCAGTTACTGTCGGGTCCTATGACGTAAGACCAGGCGAGTGAGCATACCAGCCCATTTCCTCCTCTCTGTTCCATGCACAGCACATTGTTCTCCTGGGCGTTGGTTGGAGGTGGCTGAGTGAGGGTAGAAACAGTCTTTCGTCCCTGTCACCATCTGCAGAGAGCTGCACCTCAGAGGTTGATGCAGCCAGCTCCTTGGTCCACGGGCTGGAGAAAGACTGATTATTATTGGCTTTTGTTGTGCTTCGCCTGCAAGCTTTACAAACCATTACTTCTACACTGTTAGAGAAATAGGCCAAGTCTGAGGATACTGTTTATTTCTTAAGACTCGAGAAATTTTGGATTAAGTAAATATGGAAAGAGATGCTTTTTTTTCCATATCAGCCTTTAAAAAAATTTTAATGTTTATTTTTGAGAAAGAGAGAAAGAGAATGAGTGGGGAAGGGGCAGAGAGAGAGGGAGATACAGAATCTGAAGCAGGCTCCAGGCTCTGCTGTCAGCACAGAGCCTGATGCAGGGCCCAACCTCATGAACTGCAAGAGTATGACCTGAGCTGAAGTCGGATTCTTAACTGGCTGAGCCACCCAGGCGCCCCTCACATCAGCCTTAGTGCTACTAAAAGCTGTTTCCAAAATATTATGTATTATATATAATGCTCATATTATATTGTATGCTGATTTAAAATACTTTTTCTAAAAACAGATAAACCTGCATTATCCTTTATTAATCCAGAAGTGCCTGATGAAAATAATTTTGATAAATTGATGGAAACATCTGATGGCTTTTCCTTGAATTCAGAATCAGAGATTTCTTTCACAACCCAGTCGGACACCCCAGGTACTGCTAAATACGAGGTGAGCCAAGAACTTGATTAAGTCCATTCATCTTGTTGCAAATATCCTGTCCTTGTAAGTCAATTTTTCAGTATGTTCTTAAGCAAAACTGGCTTCCCCAAGACAGAATTCACATTATAGAGGGAAAAACATCATGTTAGTGCCTACAAATCAAAGATCACAAAAATTAAAATTGAGTAGATGAATTCTAACATAGATTTTTTTTTTTAACTCTTTAGTAAGCCTGCATTTGTCTCTGCAGAATTCTCTGTGCTTCTCCACCTCAAAAGACACAGCAGAGTGCATGAGTTATGCTGCTGGGGACCCAGAGTGGGTTAGTTGGGTGCCTGGTCCTCTTCTCGAAGCTATATTTAGTTTTACAGATTTTAGGAACATATGAGCTATTTTAAATTCTATTCATTAGTAAACCTTTCAATGTAATATACATTAACTTTGAATAAACTTCAGATTTTTTGAAAGCATCTTAATAGAGAAATATAAAAACATTCCGTGCTAATTCTGAAAGGTAAAAGTATTGAGGTACATATGATGGAAAGGCCACAGTGTCCATGAAAATGCACATTGCAAATCACCGTTAATAGATTAGTGTATGCATTTTTATTTTTTAATGTTTTATGTATACTTTTAAATGTTTTTTTTTTTTTTTTAAATTTATTTCTGAGAGAGAGACAGGGTGAGCAGGGGAGAGTCAGAGAGAAAGGGAGACACAGAATCTGAAACAGTCTCCAGACTCTGAGCTGGCTGTCAGCACAGAGCCCGATGAGGGGCTCGAACCCATGAACCGTGAGATCATGACCTGAGCCAAAGTCGGGCGCTTAACTGACTGAGCCACCAAAGTGCCCCAGTGTATGCATTTTTAAATGCATCTATAAATATATGTGTGTGTGTGTGTGTGTGTGTGTGTGTATGTGTGTGTGTATAGTATTGTACAGAAGTAGGATTTATAGTTTTCTACGTTGTTCCGTAAGCTTCCTTTTTTATACAGCGATAAATCTTATGCATCTTCCCATATCAATATAAAAGTTACCATTTCTTGATCATTTTCCATGTGCCAGGCACTGGGCAAAGCTTTCCAGACATTACTTCACATAACCCTGAAAGTGATACAGCTTGTCCCCATGTAACTGACGAGAAAAAGAAAAACTTCGTCTAGGAAAGTAACTTGTCACAGCTACTGTTGGAGCTAGAGTTTACTGATACAAAGTATACCTTCTTTGTACGTATCATTGTTTATTATTGAACCATTCCACTATTAACAGACATTTGTTTCCAGTTTTTGCTATTATAAATAATCTATAAGGAACATTCTGATAGATAAGTATATCCTTGTCTAATTAAATCCTTAGGATACATTCCTATAACCAGATTAATTTAGGCAAAATGAATGGAAGTTTAAAATCTCTGTTATCAGGTTGCCCTCCAGAAAGGTTACAAGAGTTTAAACTCCCAGGCCCAGTAAAGGAGAGGGCTTGTTTCCCTAGATCCTTGCTGGCATCAACATTCAAGAAAATTGGCTGTGTACCCAATAGCTGTAAATTTGTTCTGAATACTGGGGAAAGTTTCATGTTGTTTGGTTTTGGGAAAGAAGGCCTATCATTTTTATTATTTTAATGCATACTGTATCTCTTATTAAATAAGTATTGCTAGTAAAAAATAATTACCTTTCTCACCTCTATTGCTGGCCACCCGGTTCCTGTCTGCATTGGCAGATACTATATCAGCTTCTTACATTCCTCTCCGGAGGAGTTCTGTAATAAAAAAACGCTGCAAATACAATAACATGCTCACACACAGAGACATACATCCTTAAAAGAAAGGGATGGAGCACCTGAGTGTAAGCTCCATGTGGGCGGGGCTGTATCTGTTTTTTGCTCATCAATGTGTTCCTGATGCCTGTAATGCTGCCTGGCACATAGTAGGTGTCTAGTAAGTGTTGAATGAATGCTTTTAATAGCACCATAATAGCTATTGGTTGGTCTGTTCACAGTATGGGGTTCGTCTGCAGACTTCAGATTCATTCTTGAGATTTCCTTCTCCCCTTACGTCGTCTCTCTGCACTGATGATAACCCTGCAGGTAAGACAAGACAGTGGGCATTTTTTCCTCTCTCTATAAGCAGGGTTTGCTCTTAGTTTTTTGTTTTTTGTTTTTTTTTTTTTTTTTTTTATGTTTTATTTATTTCTAGGAGAGAAAGAGAGAGAGATAGCGTGAGCAGGGGAGGGTCAGAGAGAGAGGGAATCACAGACTGAAACAGGCTCCAGGCTCTGAGCTGGCAGTCAGCACAGAGCCCGACGCGGGGCTCGAACCCACGAACCGCGAGATCATGACCTAAGCGAAAGTCGGACGCTTAACCGACTAAGCCACCCAGGCGCCCCAGTTTGCTCTTAGTTTTAATTTATAGTAGTCATAATGGAACAGGCTTCATAACTAGAAACAGTCTATCTTTGAAAGAGGTCTCAAAGGTTATGCAGTTCAGATTCCCAACCAGTCCCCACATCTTTTCTATCATATGACTGCAGGAGTACTTGTAGTGATGGGGAACTCACTACCCGAAACCAGCCCACCGTTGTTTAACCCTGCCAAGTTTGGAGGAAGTTGTTTCTTTACTGGAGCTAAAATTTGTCAATAGCTAAATGTTTATTAAACACTTACTTTGTGCTGGGTATTGTATTAAGTGCTTGCTTGTGTTTTTTCCATGAGGAAACCGAGAAACATTCAGTTTCTTGCTCAGGCAGTGGCAGAGCAGGGATGCTGCCCACGCAGCTGCCTCCCATGGGGCCTGCTTCTCCTTTTAGGAGCATCATAGACGCTGTGGAGTCACCATCCTGGCAGTGAGAGGCAGCTGGCACAGCTCTCCAATCCGTAAGGTGGCACCACAGTGAAGAAGCTAGCTGAGTAGTGTGTGGTCGCATGTGGCCTGATGAAACATCATTTCGTACAGGAATGGAAATGGATTCTGTTGAAAAGATGCTCAACCTTGCTCACAAAAGGAACAGTCTAAATTAAAACCAAAGCGAGGTACCATTTCCATCTAATGGATTGGCACAGCTTAAGAAATTTAAGGCTCTGGAGAAGTAGGCATTGATCTTACATACCTGGTGGGACCATAAGTCGGTACAGCCTCTGTGAAAAGCAGTTTAGCAGGATGTCTCAAAATTGCAAATGAGTATGCCCTTTGACCCAGTGTTCTGCTTCTAGGAGTTGGTCCTACAGAGCTTCTGGCCCACATGCAAAATCGTAGATTACAGCGTTGTTCATGATGGCAAAGCCAGGGACGGCTTCAGCATCCGTTAGTGTGGAACTGGTTGAATAAATTATGACAGATATATTAATAGAGTACTAATTATCCCTAAAAAATGGGAGGAGAAATCTCATCATACTCTGAGGTAGAATGAACTTCAAAATATATTGTTCAGTGAAAAAAAGTGAAGGGCAGAATGTATAGCATGTATTTGTTTCCAAAAGGGGAAAGAAATACTAAAAATACGTATACCCACGCTTTTATTTGCATAGAATATTTCCAGAAATACACAACAAACTTGATGCTGATTGTCTCTGGAGAGAAGCAGTTGTCTCTGGTGGTGGCTGGAGGGGATGGCGGAAGCGACAAGGGCTGGAGGGAGACTCTCAATAGCCTTTTGTGCCTTTTGAATTGTGTGAATGTATAACCTATTCAAAATATAATTTTTAAACCCTATTTTAAGCATGTTGTATGTCTGTGTTCTAACTTATTTTATGGTGTTAGTTCAATTACAAGTTTTTAGTTACCATTGGACACTTGAAAAATTTCTCTCTCGCTTTTTTTCCCCCTGGGGAATGTTATGATTTCTAGCATTTCTGGTGAACCAAGCTGTTAAGTGCACCAGAAGGATACATTTGGAACAGTGTGAAGAAACCGAAGCCCTGAGCATGGCTTATTACAGCAGCCCTAAAATTTTGAGGGTAAGAATTATTTTGAAGTGAAACTTACTCGTCAGGTTGGCTTTCTGTTCTTTGCACCTTTTGAAATATGACAAGTATAGAATAATTTCAGTACATGATTGACAACTCAAGTTAAAATTTTCCTCTTTAGTTCTTCGGTATACTGTTACCAAAGATATTGAAATAATCACTTAAAATAATTTTTATTTTTATATAGTTAGCTCATATTTTGCTTTCAGTCATTGTGGGTTTTGTGGGGGTGGGCTTTCATTTATTTTGATGGTAATCGATAGTGTTTGTCTCCTGAATAAAAAAAGACTTTAAGAACTGAAAATTTCAGAAATTATAAAAACATCTTAATGTCTGTGGCAGAAATAATCACACTAGCACCAAAAAGATACCTTTCTGAGAAACAGGCTGGAAAAGAATAGAAAATCCACGTTCTGGTTCGCAGAGAAAATAAGCAGGAAAGGACAGGTAGGAAATAGGATTGCTGGAGAAGGGGAAGAGGTCACGGTGGTATCGAGGCCCCTTCTTTCTGGTTGCAGTGACTGAAGCTGGAAAGGAGTAAGTAGGAGAGGCCACTGGCCCACTTGGTGGATGGCATGGAGGGTTGTAAGAGGTGAAGGTTATTTTCAATGATGAAAAACCATATGATTGCTGTGAACGCCCAGCTCCTGATTTCATTGTTTTTGGGGAACGGGAAGGGAGGAAGATGGTCCATGACATCAGTATTCACCTGGGCTGCTGTTTTCAGAATCAAGTTTAAGCTTTTCTCTCCCTTCCCTTCCCCTCTTCTCATAAGTCAGCCATGTAGGTCTGTGAATTCTTGCAGTTACTTGACCTCTCATGGTGCTTCTGGAAGTAGTGCCTCAAGTGTGCAGACTCAGCTCTCTCAGCACAGGGCTTCCCCAAACAAGTCTACTCAGCCCCCACCCCTAAGCTCCCTTTGGCCTGGTAGGATGTCTTGTGATGAGAAGTGAGGTTGGGGGAGACAGGGTGGAAAGCGAAGGGAAGTCGAGGCCTTTGGAAGGAGTGCTCTGCTGTGTGGGGGACGCAGGAGCTCGCCATTGAGTGGTTTGGGCTAAAGGCAGGAAGAGCAGTTGGGAGGCTGTGGAATCTCCTGGACCAGGGACAGTGGCCTTCCAGTGAGGACAGGTGCAGGAGGGTATCCCCGGAGGATAGGAGCCACATCTCCCACAGCGCTGTGTCACTGGTGACCATGTGGAAAGTACATAATGATTACAGTGAAGCATGGAGGCTTCCAGAGACCAGCTCTGTCGGGCTGTTCCATTAAGCCTGCAGTCTGAAAGAAGTGGATGTAGAAGCAAGACATAAAGTTACCTTTGGATTCTGACGTAGATATAAAAACATGGAGGTGGCAAGTCTTGATTAAGGAAACTCTGTTTTCTCCCTTGTGGAGTCTGTAATAAGATGAATATATCCTTTAACTTATGGTCTGAAAAAGCAATAAAAATGCTTCTTTTGATTGTACTTCACCAAATTTGTTGTTTCTTTTTGTTTAGGTGCCTGGTTTAAGAACAAAGGCAGAGGTAAGAGTATTTCTTGGTGGGAAGTAAGATAGTTTATAATACTCTGTTTTATTTCTGAGCCCGTTGAAATGAATACACTTATGATTAGAAGGGTACCTTACTGCCAGTAACAAAAATATTTGCCAAAAGGCAATAGAAATGAAATAGGGAAACTCCTTAGTAGGGGGCCCTTTTGTAATTACAAAAGGGACAGATTTTCAAAATCCCTGTTTTCATAGTTTGCACTTTTTCATATTTAAATGGTTTAGCTATGTTACTGACGATGGGTGTGATTGGCTTCTGTGCTTTCCAGGCATCCCTTGAGATCTTCTTGGTCTCCTGTCAGGAGAGCTGGCTAGCTCCCAGGATGCCGTCTGTCCAGGGTAGAAGATAGAAACAGTGAATGGTCACGTGAATGTCCCTACCTGTGTAGGAGCTGAACACTCGTGGTGTAGCTTCGGGGGTTGAGGTATGGGTGTCGATACTGTTCGACCCCATTCTAGGGGCTCTGTTAGGCTGTGGTCAGGAGGGCAAGGTCTTTTCGTGGATATGTCAGAGCAGAGGAACATGGATCTACCCCTTATTTTTGGGTCTGCACCCTATGCCTATGAATACAGTCCCTAAGGATGCCCAAGGCGATGGCCTTGTCATGGTCTCCCAAAGCTTGTGGAATTGATTGAGCTTGGTTCAAAATTCAGCTTTGCCATTATTTTCTCGTATGACGTATGCCTCACTCTCCCCAGTTGTCGAGCAGATGGTGTCTACCCCAGAGGCAGGTATAAGGCTTGAGTGGGAGAATGTACATAGGTGCTCTGCACAGCGTCTCGTGCCCAGGGAGCACTTGGGACAGTGATGCCTACTGTAATTGATTTCGTTAAGTCTCTAGACGGAAAAGTGTTTGAGGTAGACATTTGAAAGGAAGTAGTTGTGTGACTTTGGACTTCACACTATTGTGTGTAGGCCTGGATTTCCTCATCTCTGAACGTGTTTTCAGTCTTGGTCAGAGTTCCTTCAAATGTGATCTAAAGCAGAACTCTCCCTAGTGTGTAACTTGGATTGAATCCAAAGTGCCTGGTTGGAGCACGGGTGGGGCCCAGAGCCCTCCATCTGCCCGGCCTCCCCATCTCCCTCCTGTTTGGCCCCTCTGAGGAATCCTATGGCTACCAGGAACCCAGTTTGAAAACCATACAATAGACTAGCTTTCAAATACCTCAAATCAAAGTGCTTTGATGCTACCATTCAAAATTTGAACCGTCTGTGGGGACAGCGATCCTGTCCATCTTGTTCATGACATATCCACAGTGCTAAGGCGGTGCCTAGTGTGTACTGGGTACTCAGTGGGTTATGTGTTAATTGAATGAATGCCTAGGGGATTGGTTCAGTCAAGCGGGGAAGGCCTAGTGTGAGGATGACGGGTGTTATGGGAAGGGGTGTGCTGCGTGCTGAGCACCGTGCCCAGTCCTGTGCACGTCTGAAGTCCGTTAGTCCATTAGTCCCAGCAGTCCTTGGAGGTAGGTCCTGTTGTCACTCTCGGCATGTGAGGGACAGAGCAATTGAATCCGCTTGCTCAAGGCTGCACAGTGGGGAAGTGGCAGAGCTGGGACAGGAATCCCCAAAGACCTAACTCTTCCACCACAACCCTGGGCAAGCTGTGCTGTGTGCCAGGCCCCAAGTTACAAGCTTCACACACCTGCTTTCTCTGTACCCTGTGGCACTGGGGCTTCGAACTCAGATCTGTGAGTTCGATAATAATGGCGAAGCTGAATTTTGAACCAAGCTCAATCAATTCCACAAGCTTTGGGAGACCATGACAAGGCCATCGCCTTAGGCCTCCTTAGGGACTGTATTCATAGGCATAGGGTGCAGACCCAAAAATAAGGGGTAGATCCATGTTCCTCTGCTCTGACATATTCGAACTCAGATACCAAAGCTTGTGCTCTAAAGGACGAACATATTGACGGATATCAGAGGTTTGTTTATGAAGATTTTTAAAAGGCAACTTCCAAGATTTGTTAGAGGATCGAGAGTATAAAAATTGGATCCAGGCTCCCCATTAAGTGCAGCCTGTTAGGATTGCCTGGAATCGTTGTATCTGTTGAGCCATCATGAAAGATTACATTACGGCTCTGTAATTCCACCATTATGTATGCTGCAGTTCTTTGCCACAGGGTAGTTTGGGGATGGAACATGACTGAGTAGGACATTCAGGAAACCGCAGCAGCCCTACCATTTTCCTTCAGTGACTATTCCAGTGGCTGTTGACAGGCTAGTGCAGCTCTTGCCACCTACCCCCATCCCTCAGTCTTTCCAACGCTTGTCTAACCTGGGCCCTTTGGTTTTTGCCAACTACGCCTGTATACCACCAGCATGGCTTCGTCAGAGGCTGGTGTGGAAGGGTGTGCACTTTCCTAGAACCCAGTGTTGATGCTGAACCAGGGATCGGTAGGTTCAGAAAAATCCAGGGTTGTCTTTTGAGGATGTAAACTGAAGAGTTCATTGACTCATAGCAAGGGACTCCCAATATAGCTCTTACATCAGTTGGTGGGGCTTGCTATGCAGAGGGCGCTGTGGTGCTTGGTGACACCTTTTTGCCACTGTTGTCACATGACAGCTTGTCTTTGCTTCCAAGCCATGTCACATTCTTAGAGGTCTGACTTATAAGGACAGTTACAGGTCCTCTTGGTCATGGGAGCAGACGTGTAAGAACTATTTATTTATCTGTAAAATGACAGTTTAAATACCTAGTAATTTTGAATTATAAACAGCATGGTACATGATTGAGGGCAAAGTTCAAAGCAATATAAACAGCCAAATACAAGTTAGATTCCTTCCTAAACAGTGATTTCTGAGCACTGACATTTAAAGCAGACCTCAGATCTGTCACATGGTCTGAAGAGGCCCAACTCCCTAGAGGGTTGAGCCATTTAAAGGATTGCTTGCGGCTTATTACTCTGCTGGCAATGGCCATAAATGAAAAATGTCCTTTATTTAAAAAAAAAAATGTTTACTTTGAGAGAGAGCGCGCCTATGCGTGTGAGTTGGGGAGGGGCAGAGAGAGAGAGGGGACAAGGGATCCCAAGCAGGCTCCAGCAAGCCTGAAGCGGGGCTTGAACTCACAAAATGTGAAATCATGACCTGAGCTGAAGTCGGACGATGCTCAACCAACCGAGCCACTCAGAACATTTTCATCACCTCAAAAAGAACCCCTGTGCTCATTAGCAGGCACTCCTCATTCTTCTCTAATCCTCTCCATCAACCCCTAGGCAGCCACTAATCTACTTTCTGTCACTGTGGATTTGCCTGTTGTGAAAATTTCTGATAAATGGGATCATGTAATATGTGACCTTTTGTGTCTGGCTTCTTTCACTTAGCATCATGTTTTCAAGATTCATCCATGTTGTGGAATGAATCAGCACTTTAGTGTATTTTATGGATGGATAATATTCTTTTGTATGATATACTACATTTTTCCATTTATCAGTTGATGGATATTTGCACTGTTTTCAGTTTTTGGCTGTTAGGAATGCTGCTGTGAACATTTGTGTACGAGTTTTTGTGTGAACATAGATTTTCAGAGATAACCACTTTGAAAGTTTTGGTTATATCCTTCTCTAGTATTTTTTATGTAAATATATGTACATATAAGCAAATGTATTTTTGCAAGTGTGGAATTATAATATGCACACTGTTGTGTATCATGCTTTTTCCTGCTTGGCAGTCTTGGCGGAGGTTTGTCTCCAGTGTTTTGTTACTGTAACCCATTCATCTCTGTTGGGCAGCACCCTCCGTGAGCCGTCTCCTTTATTTTGCAGATCCCTATCACTGTTCAGTCCATCCTCAAGGAGTCTCTGAATAAAACACTGACCCAACTGGACGACATGGTTGTACTGAACCAGACTCTTGTCGAGGCTGGGGATGTTAAAATCTGCACTAATGTCGTTCTTGAGGTAGGTGCCTGGTTTGGCTTTGAAAGCTGAGTCTGTGGAGCAGACTCTGGCTGCATGGCCCCGGGGGAGGGACTGGACGCCCTTCAGAGGGGGCTCCGGCCCATCCTGACGCACTGGTTTCCTTGGCTTGCCCTCCTGCTTGCCTTCATGCTCTGTCATCAGAGGATGCCTCTTTAGGGTCTTTGAAAGAATCACGTGACTTCAAGAATATACCAAAATTTGTTGTTGTTGCTCTTGTTTTAAAACACACAGTTCCTCTGTGGAGACTGATCAGTTTGCTCAAACCTGCTAATTTGGAACACACATAACTCGGTACAGAGAGGCTCAGAGGACCCTGTCAGCTTGGGGGGGGGGGGGAGGGGCGGGGCCGAGGCAACACATCCTGAAATCTAATGGGCCAGGACAGAAAGGCTCCCATGAGTAGAGAAATGGGAAAGGATTTGCCTCCTGTATGTATTTTGAGTTATTAATAACAGCTACGGAAATGCAATGGGAACAGGTGGATTTGGAGCACCGTTTTGTTTTTAGGTAAAGTACAGCCTCACGTATACAGACGCAGGGGAAATAACCAAAGCTGATCTCTCTCTCCTTCTGGGGACAGTGAGCAGCGCATCGCTTCCACTAGAGCAGAAGTTTGAAATTCGTTTCATTCAGGTAGGTTTGATCAGTTTTGTACATGTATTTAATATCAGATAAGAAATCATAACTTCTTGGGAGAAAAATCTCAATTTAGAACTATTACCATCTATCCATTTGTACTAAACAAAGGGCTTTATGCTTTATGTAGCATGTGTTTGTGAGGAAATCAGGCAGAGTCCTTGTATCTTTTTCCTTTCTGGGAGTAAGATTCTCTTCCATGTGAGCTTGTTCTTTTATAGAATGATCTACTCCTACACTGAGAAGATATATTTATAGTTCTGGGTAGGGGGGAGGAATTCTTTTATTGGTTGGAAATCCTAGATATCACTGTGGAAAGCATTTTATTTTCACCCTTTTTCCTTATTAAATTGAGAATTATTTGGGGGGATTTCTTCATTGTCTTTCAGCAAAATACAAAGCCAGTTCCTCTCAGTGGAAACCCTGGTTATGTTGTGGGTCTCCCATTAGCTGCTGGATTTCAGCCTCAGAAGGGATATCCTTTTTGGCTCCGTAGAGGTGGTTGATTTCTCTGTCCATGTGTGTGTGTGTCGCTCTTCTCTTTATTGCTGAGGACCCTGTGAGCTGGAGGCTGGTTCTGGCCAGGACTCTCAGGTCAGCTCTGGTGGGTGGTGGGTCTGGCCACACAGTACGTGGGGCTGTGTGGACACTGGTGGTTGGGGGTGAAACAGTGTGGAAAACGTGTTTTATAATGGAAAATCTTAAGACAGAAAAGTTGACAGACTTTTAGATGTATTTAATTGCATACTTAAACAGAGACTCTTAAACAAATTTAGATTTTGAAAAGCTGGAAATAGTTTAAAGGAGGAACGGTTTCTGAGGAGTCTCCTCTGAGGATCTCCTAATCAAGGAAAATAGAACCATTTTTGAGTCTGTCCTGGAAAATAACTGTCAAAATTGCAGATGCCCAGAGAAGGGATATTTGGGTGTCACTTCATGTCACACATGTGTCACTGTCTTCTGAGACTCGGACTGCTTTATCACTGGATGATTGTCTCTTAACTTTCTGTGAATGTCCGGGATTATTCAGACCATGAACAGATATGGACAACTTACTATTCTTCGAAGCACAATGGAGCAAGACTGCTTAGCACTCGAGGGGATCCGGACTCCAGTACTGTTTGGTTACGATATGCAGTCTGGCTGTAAACTAAGGTAAGAGAGGAAGTTGTCTCTTCTGGAACTTCTTTGTGTTGATCAGAAGACAAAGTATTCCTGCTCTTCCCCTATTTTAATCAAACCTCCCCATCAGCCCAGAAGGTCATATGAAAGCCACAGTGTGACCTGTTAGCACTTGTGACAGTATCTTTGTTTTTTTTTTTTTTTAATGTTTTACTTATTTCTGGGAGAGAGAGAGATAGTGTGAGCAGGGGAGGGGCAGAGAGAGAGGGAGACACAGAATCTGAAGCAGGCTCCAGGCTCTGAGTTGTCAGCACAGAGCCTGACGCGAGGCTCGAACCCATGAACCACGAGATCATGACCTGAGCCAAAAGTCAGATGCTTAACCAACTGAGCCACCCAGGTGCCCCAGTACCTTTGTTTTCTAATTTTAATTTTCACAACCATCAGCCATTTGTCATGACTCAAAGGAAAATTGTTAAAATCATTTTTCTTATCAGATGTGACAGAGTAAAAATCCCAAGACTTTTGGAGGTTTGGTTTTAAGGTTGCTTACATAGCACCTGAGTTCATAGCAAAAAAAAAAAAAAAAAAAAAAAAAAAAAAAAAAAAAAAAAAAAAAAAGCTGTCCCTGAAAGTCCTTTCTAGATTTCTGAATTTTAATATACACGGTGCAACAAGCCTAGAGAGAGGAAGCCTGCCTGAGATCTCTGTTTTTATCGTGTTAGCGTCAAACATGCATGTAACGTAACACGTCAGATAGCTCTGCACGGCTTATTATAAAGACACCAGTTCTCACCCTCGCCTCCCCCACTCTGCAGGCAGTCTCGTGCAATTCCTGTAGCTGAGTTTTTGGAAACTTACTCCCAAATCTGTGAATAACCTTTATGTAATACTACTTCTTGATACTGTGGTTTTACGAATTGCTGAGTCCCCACTATGGAAGACAAAGATTTGGCTCTTCTCCCTTTCTTTCCCCACCATACCACCCACTCCCTTCCCACCCCCAAATCCCCTCAGGGTAATTATAGCATTGTTTTGGTTAGACCAACACATTCCATTTACATTATTGGTTCTGATCACTTTAGACCAGTATTTCTCGGAGTTCCAGGGACTACATTTCCACAAGAGTCAGTAGAGATATGTCTGTGGTCCAATCACTAGTTTGAGGAACACGAAATTAAAGTTACAAACATGATTCCTTACCGTGAGTGCTTCTCAGAGCCTTTAATATGGCAGTGTGCTTCAGGAGGGACGTGGGGATGCAGAATTTCCCAAACTCTTGGCCACGGAAACTCTTCTTGTACAGAGCTAACCAAGATTTCTCAGAGTTAAGAGACGCTTTGGCTCCTGTCAAATGATCCATTTGGAGTGAGAAAGTAAAGCAGCTGGAGAGAGGGCACGTGTGTTGTTGAGGCCTGTGAAAACGGTCAGAATGCTCAACAGCTTCATTGCATCAACCTCTTCTTCCTTCCCACAAGACTGACCAAAGCCATCACGTGTCCGCTCGCAGTGCAGAAAGTGAAGAGCCTCCTGAAGGGCCATGGCTTCCCGGATTATGTGGCCCCGTTTGGAAATTCCCAGGCCCAGGATGTGCTGGCCTGGGTACCCATCCACTTCATCACCCAGGCGCCCCACGTGAAGGTAAACGGGGAGTAGAAGGCCGCACGCGAGCGGTCTCTCCTGCTCCCACTGCTCCTCCACCCCATGGGGAGATAGAGGCAGCTCAGGCTTTGTCCTCAGATAGGCCTGGGTCTTGAAAATGGATTTTGCTCCTTGTTAGCACTCTTGCCATTGAGGGTTTGAGCCTCATCTGTGAAATAGAGAATGAGGGCTACAGTGTCAGCCTCGTGGTGCGGTTGAATCAAATGAGGTGACAGTCATGGCGCCTAGTGGGCACTCCAGACATGGAAACTACCACCCATCACCATCCTGACTGTTCTACGATCGGTGTTGGTGTGACACAAGGCGTCGTGACAGGACAGGGGTATGAGGACTGTCACAAAAGGGAGACTCCGTCCGCATTGGTCTCCCGTCTCTTGTTCCCTGGTCTATAAAGGCAGCCCACACGTGCGAGCTTTCCATTCCCAAGTTCCCCGAAGAGTTTAATGGAAGTTGACATCCTACAGAGAGGCTCCTGATCACATGTGATTCCTCTGCCCACCTTTTTCTTTTGTCTCAGCCGTCAGAGTGTGGGCCGGTCCCCATCACCGGAGGCGTGCTCTCCATCTTATCCTTTAATTGCCCAGCATTTGCTTGTGGCAGCTTCTCGGGCCTCTCATTATCTGCTTAGCGTATTTATAGCATGAGGACAATGGGGCTGAGGACTAGCTCTCTAGCTCTGATCCGGCCCTCCTCCTGAGTCCCCGGCAGAGACCCATGATTACTCAAGTCCCTGCTGTTCAGCTAAGTCTTGGCTCGGCTCTGCCACCTCAGGGAACGAGGCAAATTGCTTCTGGCTTCTCGCAGATGGGTTAAGACATCCAGTTATTAGGACCCCCTCAGAAGGGAAAACAGGTTGGGAAGAGAGGCAGGGCAGACATTAGCATTTGCAGGGTCTTTGCTGGTCCAGGGAGCTCAGAGGGCTTGGAGCGGGTTTGTACCTCCTTCCAGGAAACTCCGGGAGTGGCAGGCAGGAGAGCTTGTGCTCAGCAGCTCGGTTTCTCCCAGCGGCGTCTCGCATCTTCTCCTAATAACAGGAGGGTCACAGGGATTTTTCCGCCTGCAAACTTCTTAAAAGGCAGTTCCAAGCTAGGGAGTTCCACCAGTGCTTTTTTGGCAGGCACCAAATTTAGCAGGCTTGCTAGCTTTTTGTGCCCTGAAGAGGCGGATTTTAAAAAATGTGTTGTGGGGAAAATGTCAGACATACACAGAAGTAGAGTATGACCGTGGAATCCCTGCTACCCGTCAGGCAGCTTCAGCGGTCATCACATTTGCCAGCAAACCAGACGCAAAGGCAGGAGGAAGGCTGGGCGGCCACTGGCCCATGCCGCCCTGGGCGCAGGCCTCAGGAGGGCCACTGGGGAGCAGTGCTCTCAGTTCACAGGAGGGTCAGTATCTGACAACTCACAGACCCGTCTGTACACCCTTGTGTGCCATTTCAATCGCCAACTGATGAAATTAAATAAACAGAAAGCAGGCATCTACATTTCTTCCAGGTGCGTTTTAACATGATACGCAGTTAGGTTTAATTTCTGTGAATAACCCCATCCTCTCTCCTGTCCCCACCCGATGCCAGCTTCTCCCCTAAGAGAAACTCGGAGCTGCAGCTGGGGCATCTGAAGCCCAGTGTTCCACAGTTTGGTGTCGGCATCTCCACAACTTCCAAGTAAAGGCTGGCCTCTCTAGAAACAAGGGAGAGCATGGGAAAATGATGCTTTAGGTGTTAAAATATTTTTGGAGCGCTGAGTGCTTTAAAATATGTGCTTTCAGCTGTTTTCATCTGAAGTTCTAGAGTCTATTCACTCTCTTGTTCAGAACATTTTGTAATATGTGAAACATTTTATAATTAAAACTCTGAACTGCAGATTAAGTTTGACATGAGGTTGTGTAATGTTCAGACTGATGAATGGCATTTTGTTTTGCAGGATTCCTGCCAGCTCCCAGTGGCTTTGGTTATAGAAGTGAAGTGGACAAAGTACGGATCCTTACTGAACCCACAGGCTAAAATAGTTAATGTCACTGCCAATCTCATTGCATCTTCCTTTCCTGAGGTAGGTCTGACTTGAGTACAAAGGTATTGGTCAAGGGACCCCTGGGTGGCTCAGCTGGTTGGGCATCAGGACTCTTGATATCAGCTCAAGTCATGATCCCAGGGTCATGGGATTGAGCCCCGTGTTGGGCTTCACGCTGAGTATGGAGCCTGCTTAAGATTCTTTCTCCTTTTGCCCCTCTCATGTTTCTCTCAAAACTTAAAAAAATAAAGGTATTGGTTAAGATCTAAATCCAGACAAAACTCAACTGTGATAATAAAATTTATTTTGTGAAAAAATTATTGAAATTTAAACAATGTGGATTCTTAAAACGATTTAGCAGTCATTAGAAAATTCCACTGACAACAGTTGAATTCACATCAGCATTCTTGTTTAGATTCAGTCTTTAAAATTCACTGAAAATTGAGTTGTGATGGACTTTGAGGGGTTAGGACAACCTGGGTAAAAGTGGTCTCTTTCATCCAAGTTAGTGGCTGGTGGGCCCTCCACCTACCTATGAGATGCACTGACCGTGGTCGCGTGTGGAAGAGAACACGAGATGTCCCATCTTTGGTATCCTGTTAGCACACTGGAAGGCAGGGCTTGCATCGCTCTTTTTATTACAGACCAACTCAGGAAATGAAAGAACGGTTCTTATTTCCACTGCGGTTACTTTTGTGGATGTGTCTGCACCTGCAGAGGCGGGCTTCCGAGCTCGGCCAACCATCAATGCCAAGCTGCCGTTTAATTTCTTCTTCCCATTTGTTTGACGTAAGTTTTTAATCAAGGAAATGACACCATACCCTCTAGAATCAAGTGCTATGGGGCCTGGACTCCCTTGGAGACCTCCTGTGGTGTTATACCTCTGACCTGTGGGGTTGCCCTCAACCCACCCGCCTCCCCTCTCCACTCATTTCCCTCCTTTTTCCTTTTGGAAATTCTGTTCTACTTGGTGTGACCTTAGAATGGGGCACCATCTGGTCTGGGTGATTTCCAGCACTGTCAGCACACAGGTCATGTGCGGAAAGCAAATTGCACCTTCGGGAAGATGGTACAGGGGACAGACCCTGAAGTAGCTCAGGCATCGAGGGTTTATCCATCCTCTGCTTCAACGTGACTTGTTTTTAAAATAGTCATTGTAGTCCAGGTTTTCTTTCCTTTTCCGGTCCCGTGGAAACGAATACAAAAATAGCAAAATATTGTACAAAATCATGCACGTAGAGCACAGGGCCTCACGAGGGGATCTTTCCCCAGTGTCACCTTCATTACATGGAGTCTTGGGTCTAATTGCTATTTCGGTGGCAGTCACGGGAGCTCTCCAACTGGTGTGCTGTGCGGGATGCCACAGAGCAGTTCCTAGCAGTTGATGCTGCAAAGAATAGGAGAGCCCGAGGGAAGGAGTTTCTTTTGTACAGTAATAGAGAAAAAAGTTGTCAGGTGGCAGAACTCGGTAGAGCCAGTTAGAAGCTGGGTGCAGCAGAGGAGGGGCTGGGTACCTGAGATCAGCCTCGCCGGGGGAATATGCACCAAGAGGAGCTGTTGAGAACAGCTTGGGAAGATAAGACTTTCTAGAATGGGCTGGTAGCTAAGGTAGCTTTCTTTTTTCCTTTGTCTTTCAGAACACCTAGATGAAACGCCCTGATTCCTCAGTATGCGCGTGAAATGTGAAAAGTACACTTGATGAGATAAAATTTTATACACAACTAGAAGTTGTCCAGCTTCGTTGTTCGTTTTCAAGCAAGAGTAAAGTGTTCAACATGAGAAAATATAGTTTATGATACATGGTGATGTGAAGATGGGAAGCTCTTGGTCACACCAAGAAAGGAAGGGCAAGCCTTTCTCTCAGGCTGCCCGCCCCCTTCCCCCCAAGAATCCAAGCGGAGGGGAGGGGAGGCAAAGGTATTGAACCAAACCTCTCCCGAAACGGCCCCAGGAGACGCAGCTGTCTTCTCTCAGAGACACAAGCCTGTGGAAGCAGGGCCTTATCTTTGGGGCGGAGCGGGCACACGTCTAGTTGACCTCACCAAGAAGTCCGTGCTGTCTCAATAGCTTGTTAAGCCTTTCAATTTCTTGTTCCTGTCATTACAAAAAGTAGACAACTCAGTTTACCTTCTGAGCCTTACCAGAGAGGTGGTGAGGACTCAGCGGGCCCCACGGAAGCGGCACTCCCTTTGGGAGTCTGTCAGCGGGCCCTGCCTCAGTCAGGTGGGGTCCAGTGGGTGAGGAGCGACACCGGGCGTAGCTCTGGAGGAGGAGGGGATGCCTAACCTGGGTCTGAAGGAATAGGAAGCCTGGGCCAAGGGCAGTGTCTGAGCAAGGGCCTGGCAGGGAGAAGCACAAACTGAAGGTAAACAGGTGGCATTTTCCCCACACGTGTTGCCTTACCTTCTCAGAGCAGCTGAACTCAAGGTGTTGGATCTTGGCGGCCAACTGTATATTCATCTGTTTTAACCTCAGTAGTTGCCGTTCTGAACGTGTCTTAACGGAGATAATTATTCCTGTAAAATAATTGAGGGTCTCTGTGATAGAGGTTTCTAGTTGAACCACTTGGAAAAAACCCTGTATTCTTTATAAATGTGTCCAGCTGGTGACAGCACGGTCAGTCCCTGAAAGGCATCAGAACTAGGAGGGTTTATTTCTGAGCTACTCAGTACCCAGGTGCTCCCCAAACGACTATTCTTCATGAACTTTCTGCAGCCGTGAACTGGCTGCTGAAGCTCCCCCTCCAGCTCGCACGGGGTAAGTCCTACCAGTCCCCAACCACGGAGGGGCCAAGCTTCTCAACACCAAGCTTGTTCACGCAGCGTGGCTCAGCGGCAGTGCACCAGAGCCACAAAAGTACGAGGCTGGGAACACTCAAGCTTGGCCCTGGGATTGTCGCTTTCCTGACTTTCAGCCTCCCACAGCTGTGGCCAGTTCAGCTGCCAGGCAGTCAACTAAGTCTGGGCTGACATGGGGTCATCGGCCTTATCGGATGGCTCCCAAATGCCCACACCACAGTGTGATCTCAGGCTTTTGGTTTTGTCTGTAAAAGCCTATCTCACAGTGGTGTGATGGGACAGTAATGGGTAGGAGCTGTTCCTGAGTCAGTCACACTTCGTAAAGGTTGATCCACTTCAATCGTGTGTGGCCTTTGCACAGGGTATTTGTTTGATGAGTGAAATAATCTGTTAGCATAAGCCTATTCAGTAGTAAGTGGAAAGCTTCCTTGATTTCCTTTGACAGCCCAAATTAATTTTTTTAAATGTCTGTTTATTTTGTGTTCGAGAGCAGGAGAGAGAGAGTCCCAAGCAAGTCTCCTTGCTCTCAGTGCAGAGCACAACACAGGGCTCGATCTCACAAACTGAGATCATGACCTGAACCGAAATCAAGAGCTGGATGCTTAACCCACTGAGCCACCCAGGCGTTCCCCCCCACCCCCAAATGAATACTCTTAATAAACCTCAAAATAGATCTGGCCTGGTTCCTAAAGCCCATGGGAGCCCGTAGTGCCCACAGGCAGAGCCCTGCATCGGAGCACATGTGACCCCTCACCTGCCAGCATGGGAGGCTGGGGTGGGACTCTGTGCTGCCCAGTGAAGGAGCTGCATGTCCCAGGACCTGCCTGCTTCACTCTCCTGGCAGTGACCTGCAGCCTGTCGTACTGGGCCCTGTCTAGGGATTCCCAAGCCTGGCTGGACGCCCAGATCACCTGGTAGTGCTTCAAAACTAGGCAGCCCCGTGACAGTCCACCCCAGACTCCGCATCAGACTCTCCAGTGAAAAAACACACACACTGAAGGGGATTCTGGTGCGGTGGGTCCACAGGCAGGCTTCGGAACAACTCTGCCTCGTTCAGTGAGGGCTCATCCAGTTGGTCATCACTATGTCCACCCAATAACAGCAGAAACATGGCTTCTCTGAAACGGAGCCTCCCCGCACCAGCAGGGTGTGTGTGAGGCATACGGTAGCAGTCTTTCCCCAAGTGTGTTCTCTAGAGCTAAAGTCTGCAGCACCCCTTAACAGAGGGGTGATTTCCCCCCAAACCGCCCAGTTGGTCAGTTTGGGAAACAGAGTTTTCAGAGTCTTCCTCATGCTCACAAGTGCTGTGACCTCCTCAAAGGGCCAGAATCTAGTGTACAGCGTTTCTCAGCTCACTTGCACCCCTTTTGGACGGTACCCCTCCCAGTGGGACGGGGTGCGGTGGAACATTCTTCGGGAAACACCAAACTAACAACAAAGGTGCTCTGGGGACCAGGCTGGATGGACCAACGAGGCATTTGTCTGACCCTTTCTATAAATATCTTCTAATAATTGTGAAAACAAGGCTTAAAGGAGAAATGTGGTTCCTCTTCGAGCATGTGACTCTGTATCAATCCGTAGCCACAGAGGCGGTGGTGGGAACCAACTCAGACCGCCTCCTTTCTCTCTAGGAAATGCTGGCCAGGAGGAGGAGCAGCCACAGCCTCCGGGCCCACTCCCAGGCGCTGCCCACCCGCCAGTCCCCTCTGCAACCTGGGAGTGCAGGGGACGTACCGTTGATGATCCGGGCCACCCGCCACAGCCGGAGCAGAATCAGTAAGCCAAGAGCCTCAAACTGGTGCTTATGGAACAGAAGGACGACGTCCAGGATGAAGGAGATCACCACCACGATGGTGTCCAGGATTTCAAACTTGTGGTAGAAGAACTCCAAACGGAAGACATACAATTTGAAGAAAATCTCCATCATAAAGAAGGTCAAGATGGCAATGCTCATGCAGTGGAACACCTGGAGAGGACAAGGTGGCACAGTGAGCACGGATCCGGGGCCCGTCACGGGCCGGGGCAGCTCACCCAGACGAGCTGGCCTTGAGCGCGCCTGCCCGTCCACCGAAGGGCGAACTCCTTCATTTGACCCCAAACTCCACGCGCGCGGTTCTCGACCTGGAAATACGGCCGGGACACCACAGACCGGGGCTCTGCCCTGCCTGCCCTCTGACGGGTAGTTGGGCAATGGCAGCATTGAAAGCCATGCCCTTTGGCCCAGGAATTTATCCTGCAGCTAAGCTCATGCAGGCACAAAGGCACGTCGTAGGGATACTCACCGCAGCATCATTTAAAGACAAAAGATTTTTTATATTCTTTGTAGAATAGAAATATTAGAGGGCGCTTGTCAGATGCATTATGGTACCTCCATACGGAGCGCTGTGCGAAGGACCAAGGCTGACTCCTGCATACTGACTAGAAATGATCTCCAAGGTAACTGAAGAGGTTTGCCAGATCTTTATTTATAAACACTAGGTTTCCTGAAAGTAACCATTTCCATTCTAGGACGGGGAAAGTACAAACTCAGGTAGGACGTCATCTTGGGCCAGAAAGCAAGGAAATGCTCAGAGCCAATGGAGTCATGTTAAAAAGATACAGTAGTCAGTTTGAAGAGACTCACAATGACCAAATTTGGGACAATGTGAACACTTAACAGAATGACTGATAATCATACACTGAATACACACAAAAAATTCCATGAGTCCGTAGTGATACATATACACACATGGGGGAAAAGGAAAGCTCTTCTTCATTAAAAACAAAACAAAACAAAAAACACCACCACCTACTAGATGCAAAATGAATGATGGAACTCTGAGTTCGCATCCCCCAGTGTATTCACGGACTCAGGCAGTGACCTGAGTGGATGCTAACTGGTGGAGAATATCTGTGCGTGGCAGTCCAGTGTCACTATGCACATGATCTATAACGGCAAAGGGAAGGTGGAACAGCTCAGCAGTTACTACCTTATGTGGTCCCACCGAGGATCACTGATGGCGATGTGCTCTGCTATAAAGAAAACCCCTCACCAGCCAACAACTCTTTGCTAATTGTGCCTCTGGACCTCACCTATGGGGTACAGGGAATAAGGGAACAAGCTGAGGACCTCTGGGGAAACAAATCCAGAACACGGGACATCTTAACAAGATGACTGGATGGACTCCAAAAAGTCAGTGTCCTAAGGGAAAAAAATTAAAGGCTTTTCTAGATTAAAAGAGCCTGTGGAGATACAACCAAGTATAATATCAGAAGTCTGGATCCTAGTTTGGAAAAGAAAAATCAAAACATTATAACAGATAGTCTTGGGACAAATGAGGACATTTGAATATAAACTGGTTATTATGGAATCATTGATAATATTATGGTTCTGTAGGAGAAAGACCTTATGCTTTTTTATTAAAAAATTTTTTTAATGTTTGAGAGAGAAAGAGAATGGGGGAGGGGGGCAGAGAGGGAGACACAAAATCAGAAGCAGGTTCCAGGCTCTGAACTGTCAACACAGAGCCCCATGCGAGGCTTGAACTCATGAGCTGTAAAATCATGACCTGAGCCAAAGTTGGACTCAACCGACTGAGCCACCCAGGCGCCCCAGAAAGACCTTATTCTTTGGCAAGTTGAAATATTTGTGTCCTGATGTCTAACTTACTTTCTTCTTCTTCTTTTTTTTTTAATGTTTTATTTATTTCTAGGAGAGAGAGAGAGACAGCGTGAGCAGGGGAGGGTCAGAGAGAGAGGGAGTCACAGACTGAAACAGGTTCCAGGCTCTGAGCTGGCAGTCAGCACAGAGCCCGACGCAGGGCTCGAACCCACGAACCGCGAGATCATGACCTAAGCGAAAGTTGGACGCTTAACCGACTAAGCCACCCAGGTGCCCTGATGTCTAACTTACTTTCAAATGGTCAAAAATACATGGGTGTGTTTGTGGATATATATATAGAGAGAGAAAACAAATACAGCAAAATGTTTATTTGCCATTTTACATAATAAAAAGTTGAAGAAAAAGTCACAAGATGGTGAGTACAGCAGTTATGTCACTGATTGTGCTTAGAGGGAGAGGAAAAATATTCCTCCATCTGTGGAAGGACTCAGGCTGGCCACAGAAGAAAAGCTAGCAGCTGCCTTGGGAAGGCTGGACGAATGTCTGGGACGGGCTCAGGCAGCAGCTGTGAACTGGGGAGTAAACAGTGGGCACATCTCCAGCCTGGGGACCGCGTCAGAAAGTTGGCAGGCAGAGAAATAGGTGCTCTGCCCCTAAAGATGGGACAGTATCCCTCTCTCGGTCAGATCCTCCCTCTAGGAGCAGTGGCAGGCTCCTGCTCAGCGGTCGAGCACCACTCAAGACTCGAGCCGTCACACGAAAAGGTTTCCTGCTTGTAGTCAATGCTTTCTGTAGTTTGGAAACAAAGATATTTTCTCTGCTCTTTGGTTAAAAGCACCCAGTCAACCTACTCTGTTAAGGACTTGCAGCTCCCAGCGGGTGCTGTCTTTCCCACTCTGCCCGCGGCAGGAAGGGTAACAGAATTGAGCCGTATTAAAGGGCTGCTGACACACTACCTTGACGGTGTTCTCGTCAGCCTTGATGATCTTCAGGTCCAGAATGAGCTCAGCGAGCACCAGGAGGGCGTCCAGGATGACCAGACAAATGATGATAACCTGCAGACCAAGCGAAGGTGCACGAAACCATTAGGCTGGAGACATCTAGGGGAGACCATCCTGGGTAAAGATGCCAAGGATGGGACGCTGCTGCCCACAGCCAAGCGCCTTCCAGGCCTGTTGCCCGCCCCTCCCCCCACCTCCCCACCCCCGCCAGAAGTGTCTGTCCCCCTGGAGCTTCTCTGGGCGGCTGAGTGACACTCAGTCACCACTGGTCTCCGTATTCATTCACTGTTTCTCAGCAGGTCTCAAGCCAAACTGCTGATTCCTAGATGGCAAAAAAATGTTTCTTAAGTTTTAATTTTATTGTTTCTAGAGATCCCCTTGCCAAGGTATGCCCAGACCAGATGTTCGATAAATAATTAAAAAGATCTGCCTCACAGATCCGAGTCATGGAAGGCCCTCCAGGGACTACCTGCTTTAGGCAATTGGATTACAGTGATGTCCATGGGACACATAAAATAGCTTCCGTCCGGAGCCACAGATAGTTGGCCCAGTTCGTGTGTGCTCGTTGGGGGGCGAAGGGCAGTGGGAGTCCTGGGTCTCCTGGGGACTGAGGAGAGTGGTGTGAGAAGGACCATCTCATGGGCTCCGTGAAAACAGGGTGCAGTGAGGGTGCGCTCCCACGGCCGGGGTGGGGGGTATGGTGACGGAGGCAGCCATGACGCTGGTGAGGGCTCCAAGGGCAGGCTGGGGGTGACAGTGTCTGGCGGTAGAAATGGCAGCAATGGGAGGAAACCCAAAGGACACTATGTGACCCCTCTCTTCCCTTGGGAACTGTGGGCCCTCCCTGGCCTCCCTCAGGGCCCTGCTTCCCACATCTTCGTTCTCAGGTAGATCCCACAAGTCCATCTGCCATTGTCTTGGCTGTGCCTGCAGTTTCGGGCTGAAACTAAACAGGCCTGTGTAAGAATGGACTAGTAAACCTTTTCATATTTTATTTCATTTCAGCCTGTAGCTAATTATTTCAGTAATTCAAGTGTTTGATGACATGGTTTACTATCAAAGTTGCTTTCACAAACTGCTTTGTGATGAAGTTTTGACACATATTTAAATTCAGTAGCTCAAATAAAGATTCTGGCCTCTGGTGGATTGTTTTTCCTTTCCCTTCTTTCTTTCTTTCTTTCTTCATCCCTGGTTTTATTTTAGAGCTGAAGGGATGTGAGAGTTCATCTGGTCTAAAACCAAGGCACAGAGACATTAAAAGACGACTGAATATTCGGCCATAAAAAGGAAGCAGCACTGACACGCTACAGCGTGAGTGACGGAGAAGACGCGATGCTGAGAAAGGAGGAGGACGCCCAGACCACATGTTGTCTGCATCCATTCATATGAAGAGTCCTGAACAGACAAATCCGTACAGACAGAAAGCAGATCAGCGGTCCCCAGGGGCCACGGGGCTATTGCTTAGTGGGTACTGGGTCTCCTTTTGGAGTGATGAAAACATTCTGGAAGCAGACAGTGGTGGGGGTTGCACAACATTGTGAATACATGAAATGCCACTGAACTGTTCACTTTAAAATGATTAACTTTAGGGGTGCCTGGCTGGTTCAGTCCAGTCAGTTAAGCAAAGGACTCCTGATTTCAGCTCGGGTCATGATCTCACAGTAAGTTCAAGCCTTGCATTGGGCTCTACACTGTGTCAGGGTGGAGCCTGCTTTGAAGTCTCTCTCTCTCTCTCTCTCTCTCTCTCTCTCTCTCTCTCCCCATCTGGCGTGCACACTTTCTCAAAATAAATAAACTTAAAAATAATAAAATGATTAACTTGTGTGAATTTCTCTTCAATTAAAAAAGGGGAGACAGACCCAAGGTCACAAAACTACAATGTCTGGGCCCCAATCCTGACCGTTGTGACAAATCCCCAGACCCTGAAATGGTCACTTCACAAGGGCAGTGCTATTTCTTAGGGGAGTCAGGTCACAAAGAGAAAAGCTGAGAGTTCAGGGAAGCTGGTAGATTCCAAACCCAGATGGGGTAAAGACGGCCGTGATGAGAGTGCAGGCTGCGGGGCCGCCAGCCCTGGGCCGGCTCCTGCATTAGCCTAGACCTTGGGCACATCTCTCAAGTGTTAACTCTAAGCTTCAGCATACCCTAGGGGAAAATGGGGTTGACCACATTTTACACCCTAGAATGACAGAGGGAGCATTACATGAGGTCATGTGAAGGGTGCTTGTAAGGCACAGGGCCCGGCCACAGTGAGCAGGTAATAAAGTGAAGCTCCTTGACCTTCACATTGTCCTCCCCGGCTCGGCTACCCTGTCCACCCATGGATTCCACAGAGGCCCAACACACCCTATATTCTTTCTTCCCTTGCTTGTATCATCCAGTGTGAAAAGTGATGGCAATTAACTATATATTCACTATATATTCGGTCACCTAGGCTGCTTCAACCCATGGGAACGGGTAGAGAATGCACCCAAGAAACGGATTCCAGAATCCTCTTGCCCACAGATTCATGCAAGAATCAAACCCCTCAACTGGTATCCCCACTCCGTGGTGGTCTCCCTGAGCCTCTCCACAAATCTAGTTGTGTCACTCCCACCCACACATTCAGACTTTCTAGGGCTGCCCATTGCCCACAGATGACCTTCCAGCACCTCCTTTCTTGCCAAGTTATCCCTTTACTTGCTACACATAAGGCAACGTGGACCCTTCTCAATGCCGGGGACAGGACAGATCCTTTCCTGTCTTTGGCCCTCTGCAAACAGGAAAGGGCCTGAAAAGCCCCTCCCCTCCCCAGTCACAGAGCTCGGCCCTGCCTAAGCTTCAGGTGTCACCTGAAAGGTCACCTCCTCCACTACATGTCTTCTGACACCCAATCCTGGGTCAGGTGGCTGCCTGCCCCCAGGAGGTCTGGGAGCCCCCTTCTCTTCCTACCGAGGGCTTCCCTTCCCCCATAATCAGCATCAATCTGGGTGATGGTTCCTGGAGTGCCTGCCTCTCCACAGGCCGTGGGCCCCCCAAGAATAAGGACAGGAATGTATGTGCCACGCTTGCTGCTGGACCCCTGGGACATGGGGCTTGAGAAGTGACTGTCCAGTGAATGAGTAAGTCACATCAGGCTTCTCTGTAGGAGTGTCCTTAGGGTTCCTGGCACAGGGGGCCAGCCCTGGGGCCCCCTCAGGAGATGGAGGCCCTCCCGGAGCTGGGAGGGCCAGGGTGCCCCCTTGCAGCTGGAGGGAAACTGCCTCCTTCCTTCCGCTCCTGAAATTGAGGGTTTGGGATTTCAACCCCAACAACTTAATACCACGTTTCCTTTCCTGTCACAGCCACAGAGAAAAGCGTTGAGCTGCGAGGCTTGTTGGGCTGTTTGTCCTGCTTTGTCTAAATTTTTTTTTCCTGTTTTACCCTGGAACAAAGGCAGTGATGGGAGAGGTAGGGGCTGTTTCTGCTTCCAGGAGGGAAGTCAGCTCCAGGGAGGCGCTGGTTTATCTGGGTGTAGGACTCCTGCAACAGGGTCCCCGAAATGGCTCCATTGCAGGACCTGGGCTGACAAGGAGCTGCGTGCTTCCCTGGGGTCCCTGGGCCTCCGTTTGCTCTGGGCTCTCAGAACGTGTTTCCAGACACTGCTTGCCCACTTCAGGGCTGGGGGCTGAGACGGGGCCAGCAAGACTCAACCTGCACTTGTCCTTCAAAGTCAGAAGATGCCAACGGACACTTTGCTCTTGAGTCCACCTCTCCCTCTCATGTTCTCTCCTAACCGCACCCCAAGGGCAGCCGCGGGCCACACTCTGCAGATCGCTCCACAAAATAAGAGACTGAAGCCCCCATGGTGATGTGTCTGTGGGACGCGGGACCGTCTCAGCCTCGTGCAACTCGGGGCACACACTCAATGTTTGCCGAATGAATGCAGAACATTTTTCTGCCTCCAACGCTTACCTGTTAGTTTACTTTTTGTGTATACATCGTAAAATCTGCATAAGCTAAAATCTACCATAACACGTGAACCATTTTAAAGTCGGCTTACAGTGCAGGGGCATTTAGCACATTCACAAGGCGGTGCAGCCATCACCACTATGGAGTTCTGGAACGTTTTCATCACCCCAAATGGAAACCTGTATCCAGGAAGCAGCCCGTTGCCATTCCACCCTCCCTCCAACTTGGAACCACCAATATGCTGCCTGTCTCTACAGATTTGCCGACTTTGAACAGTTCACATAAATGGAATCATGCACTATGTGGTCTTTGTGTCTGGCTCCCTTCACTGAGTACCACGTTGTCAAGGCTCATCCACGTTGTAGCAGGTGTCTGTGCCTCCTCCTTCCTCGTGGCCGAATAGGGACATACTACATTTTGTGTACCTTTAGCTGACTTTGCGTTGTGACTTCTTTTATCCCTGACAACACGGAATCTGCCCCGCGCCGGACGGGGCACCCGACACATGGTGAGCATTCAGCAGGCGTACGGTGGCGGAGACGGGTCCCCACCTTGGCCTCGTGACTCTTGGCTGATGGCTCTGCCCCACCCCAGGCATCTTGGGTCCCTGCCCACCTACCTGAAACCTGTGGGAGCTGAACAGCTTCCTCAATGTAGTCCTGAAGTCTAGGGGGGGCCTGGGTGCCGGGGCAGGGGCCGCAGTCGGGTCGGCAGCTCTGCCCTCCTCGCCAGAGGCAGGGGTTGGCGGTGGCTGCTCCTCCTCCTCCTCCTCGTCCTCCTCATTCTCCCATTTCTTGTAGTTGATGTTCCAGGCATGGTAATCGTCCCCAACGACGGTGAAGTGCTTCAAGAACTTGCTCATCCTCTCGGCTGGAGCCACTCTGGCCCTGCGGGAGACGGCCTGGAGAGAGGGGACAGCGAGCAAGCTCTCAGGTGGGGGGGCGGCCCTCAGAGCCTGTCCAGGCCACTTAGATCCCACGGTGCTCTGGCGGGGAGCAGGGCCCAGGCTGGGCCAGGCCGCGGTGGGGGGGTGGTGATGGGGGGAAACAGCCCCAGCGCTCAGAGCACAGTGCACGCAGAGACCGTGAGGTCACGGTGGTTTCTTGTGCTTTTATTTTTGGAATCCAGGGTCTCAGTGCCGATGAGGCAACAGGAAACCCCAGAACCCGTCAGGCCTGTCACTATGGTCTGGTTGGCAGTAACCAATGAAATTGGTACCACAGCTCAGTCACAAAATACCCACCACGTGTAAATACCGGAAGAGTGGCCCCATAGTTCAGAGACATCACAACCTGAAAAACCGGAGGTGAGAGTTGGCGGGGCAGGGGTGTGGAAAGCCAAAAGTAAAAGTACCCAGAGTTTCACGGAAAAGTGAGGCCCCTCCCTTTATGCCACAGATTAGTTCTTGAAATGTGAGTGGCAAAGAGCTTTTTCCTAAGTTCAGCCAGTGCTGTTTTAAGTGCACCTATGGACAGCTGTTTAAAGACAAATGACATCAGGGCCGAAAAACCAAAAGATCCTCCTCCCTTTGCCCAGCTTACCCTACCAGATAGCAAATTTCTTTTGAAGTTCAAGAATGAAAACTTTCAGGCGTGAGTCCAAGAGTGTGCACTATGACCAGTGGATTAGCAACAACCAGACCCATACCCTGTAGGAAACTGGGTGTGATGGCAGCAGCAGTGCAGATCTGAGGGAAGAGACTGGACAGGGCAGAAGGCCTGGCCTTCACGAGAGGAGGCAAACATAAAAGATCCCCACCTCACACCCTACACAGAATAAATTTTAGATGCATTAACCAGAACATTTATAATTTTTTTAAAAAACTTTAAAAGTCTCAAAACAAAATACAGGGAAGTGTCTTTATGATTTTCAAATAGGGAAAAAGGTTCCTTAAGTAAGACACAAGACAAAGGAAACAGATAGATTTGATTCATCAAAATTCAAATCTATTTTGGGCACCCGGGTGGCTCAGTCAGCTGGGTGTCCAACTGTGGATTTCAGCCCAGTTCATGATTCCAGGGTGTGGGATCAAGACCTGCGTTGGGCTCCACTCTGTGCATGAAGCCTGCTTGAGATTCTCTCTCTCCCTCTGCCCCTCTCCCCTGCTGATACTCTCTCGCCCCTCTGCCCCTCTCCCCTGCTGCTGCTGCTCTCTAAAAACAACATCAACATGAGAAATAAAAAGCCTTTATCTCTCTCTCTCTCTCTCTCTCTCTCTCTCTCTCACACACACACACACACACACACACACACACACACACACACTACCCTACCAAGTTAAGACAAACCACAGACGGGGTGTGACACACACATATTTGCAATGTATTTAACAGACAGAGGTTTAGCGTCCAGAATATATACAGAGAGAGAAATCATACAACTTAAAAAAAAAAAAGACAACTCCATTGAAAACTGCCTGATTTTAACAGGCAGGTTACATAAAAGGAAACCCAAGTAGCAGAGACACACCATCCCACTAGTACTCAGGAAAATGTGAATGGCAAGACTTCTAACGTCTGCAACAGCAAATGTTGGCAAAGATGTGGAGCAATGGCGGGGGCGGGGGGGGGTGGCTCTTGAACACTGAACATGGGCATGGACACTGGCACCACCATTGTGGGAAGCAATGTGGCACTGTTTTGTCAAGCGGAAATGGTGCATATCCTTCTAATAATCTAGCGATTCCATCCCTAGAAAGGCTCCAAAGGGAAACTCCTCCATGTGTGCTCAAATCAATGATCTGCTCAAGACCGTTCACTGCAAACATTCACCTAAATGGTGGGAGACAGAAGAATGAGCCTTCTCCATTCGCATGATGGAATACCTCACAGCAATTAAAACGAACGAACCACATTTCTATAGGTGCCTGATGACGTCCATATACTCGCTTGGCAGCACTAAGCGCGGTAGGTCTCTCCCTCCCTCACTTCTTTCACTGGCTTCTGGGATTCCATATTCTCCTGGTTTTCCTCCCGCCCCGGTGGTTACTTCTTACCAGTCTCTTCCGCTGGATTCCAGAAGAGGAAGACCTTACATTTAAGAATTGACATTTCCATGGCTCGGGCCTACGACCACCTCTCTTCTCTGTACTCAGTTCCTAGGGCTTCTTGGTTAGCGGCGCAGCTTTAAGGCCATCGGTACGCTGATCGTACGTAAACACTAGCTCCAATCCCCATCTCAACGAGGGACACCACCCTTAGTTATCTAAGAGCTATTTTATCCCCAGCAAGTTCAAGGCAGAATTATTCATTTGCCACCCAAACGTCCCCAACCCAGGTTACGGCATTTTATTTGTCTAACTCCTTAGGACAATGGCATCCTTAGGCCTTTGGCTTCACTCTTTAAATGTCTTCCTCTTCATTCAATACTTAGCCAACAGAAAAGTTTGTTGGCATTGCCTGTAAACTAACTTTCCAAGGAAGACCACTTCTCCCCATCATTTGCTGCCTTTTCTTGCCTAGATTACCTCAGCAGCCTCCCACCTGCTCCCAACATCCGTTCTCCACACAGCAACTGGAAAGGACTTTCTCAAACATAAACAAGATCACTTCATGACCTTCCTTAAAACTCTCAAATGCTTTTTTTCAATGCACTCAGGCCCTCTCCCGGGAAATGTCTTCCCCTAGACATCTGCATGTCTCACACCTTCACTTAGGTCAGGCTTCTGCTTAAATATCACCTCCACTGAGACTTTGTCTGGTTGCCCTTCGCCAGACACACTGTGTCCACTTACCTTGCTTCACTTCCCTTTATTGCACTTACTGGCGACATTATATATATATATATATATGTCTACCTGTGTATTATCTGCCTACCTCCCCAGACCCTAAGCTCCATAAAAATTGAACTTTTTCCATCTTGTGCAAATGGCATACCCAGTGTCTTGTGCGTAATACACACTTGAAAACACTCAAATGTTTAAGGGACTGAACAAACACAGAAATGTGGGTAGATCTTTAAACATATATTGAGTTTAAAAGAAAGATATAGAATATGAATATAATACCACTTACATAAAATTTAAAAATACACGCAAAATATTACTATATGCTGTTTTGGAAATGTGTAAAAATGGGAGTGTAGGGTAGGGGCGCCTGGGTGGCTCAGTCAGTTAAGTGTCCAACTTCGGCTCGGGTCAGGATCTCACGATTTGTGGGTTTGAGCCCCGCGTTGGACTCTGTGCTGACAGCTCAGAGCCTGGAGCCTGCTTCAGATTCTGTGTCTCCCTCTCTTTCTGCCCCTCCCCTTGGCTCACACTCTGTCTCTGTCTCAAAAATAAGCAAACATTTAAAAAAAGTGGGAGTGCAAACATACAAAAGAATGGGATTTCTGCTTCTGGTCATGACAGAGTAACCAGTATCAGATTAGGCCTCTTGCCATAAAAAAAAAAAAAAACAACAACAAACAAAAAACCTATAAAACTGGGTAAAATACATGAAATTTATGGTGATCCCTGAGAGATTAGGTGAACCCCACAACCACCTCTCTTCCTGCCTAGAGTTACTTTCTGGACTGTGGCAGCAAAGATTATCATTCAAGGCTATTGAGCCTCCCCCCCGCCCTCAATAATTTGCATGGCAAAGTACCCAAGAAAAGGAAGCTCTACAGAGAAGGAGCGCCAAAAATCCAAATTTGGCTGAATTCTCCACAGCTAAAAAGCTGCCAGAGATGATCCAAAGCTGGGCTGGAAGATGTGTGAGTTCCAAATATCCAGAGTACAGATCTTGTTGAAGACTCTGGGCATTCAGAAGAAATTCCAGAAAAGCTCTACAGTAAGAACCACCTTAGACCTGTCCCAGATACACTTAAGCAGCAGCCTTGAAAAGATTCAGCAGATTCCCCAGGTAAAGGACTGCCTACTGGAACAAAACTCAAATTCTATTAGAGAGGACAACAAAATACACTTAACAATGTAGCATTTATAAATGGACAGCATACAATAAAAAATTACAGAAAAATGTGGCCCATAACCAGTAGAAACATTATATTAGCTCAAAATGGACCGAGATGATAGAATTGGCCAGCAAAGACTTATAAATGGCTATTATAAATATGTTAAGGATTTCAAAGACAACAGGAGCTTAATGAAGAAATGCAGAATCTTTAAAAAAAATTCTTCAGTTTATTTATTTTGAGAGAGAACGTGAGGGAGGGAGAGAGACAGAGACAGAGAGAGAGGGAGAGCACATGAGCACATGTGCAAGTGGGAATAGGAAAGGGGCAGAGAGAGAGGAACAGAAAGAGAATCCCAAGCAGGCTCCGCGCTGTCAGTGCAGAGCCTGACACGGGGCTCTATCTCATGAACCATGAGATCATGACCTGAGCTGAAATCAAGAGTCAGACGCTTAACTGACTGAGCCACCCAGGTGCCCCCAAATATAGAATCTTAATAGAGAAATGGAAACTACTGAAAAAAATCCAAATGGGCTCAAAGCTGATTGGATAATGCAGGATGAAAGATAAGTGAATTTAAAGACAGAGCAATAGAAAATAGCAAGGGGAAACATGGTGAGAAAAAAGTCAGGGAAAAAAAAACCCAGTGCCTCAGGGACAGTGTCAGGTGGTCTAATATGCATGTATGTAGAGCACCAAAAGGAGAAGGAGCTTAGGACAGAAAAATATTTGGAGAAATAATGACTGAAAAAATTTCCAAATTTGATGGAAAAGTATAAACATTTAGATCCAAGAAACTTACTGAACACTAAGGAGAACAAACATAAAACTAATGAACTGGAAGGAGATACCCAATTCATGATGGTGGTTGCGCTCAGGGAGACGTAGGGTTAAAAATGGAAGGGTTCAAAAAGCATTTGAATGCTCTATGAAAAACATCTTTTTATTATTTTATTTTAAATTTTTTTATTTTATAGAGTATGCGAGCAGGGGAGAGGAGCAGAGGGG